GACAGACGACGACAGGACGGGCAGAAGGGCAGGCAGGCAGACAGACAGACAACAGGCATGCAGGCAGGACAGACAGGCAGACAGACAGACGACATACAGAAGACAGACAGACAGAAGGCAGGCAGCAAGAACAAAGGACAGCAGACAGCCAGGCAGACAGACAGAAGACAACAGACAGCAGGATCTACAGCTGAGCTCTGCTGAGAGGGTTTTCTTTTGTATTGACTTTAGACACAAACATCAACTTGTATTAGTTATAGAGGTACAGGTACTGTACCCATCTAGATAATTCTACAGGGTGTGGGGAGGTAATATTGTGAATGTGGGTATTGGTGATTACTAACAAATGATAGTTAACAAAGCTTATCATATGAAACAATATAATGGCCATAATTGATACGTTCACATGGATCGTTAACCAAACAAAGTGCATAATGAGTTATAGAATCCGAAGTGGCAACTTCTACTTTCCAGAAGACAGAGCGGGCCATAGCTAAACTGTTGCGTACAGTAGGTAAATCTTGATCATGAGTCCCTCCCTGTCTATGTGTGTACAGGCTGCAGCTTGCCAAACATGCTCACACCTACTCAGGTTCAGCACCAAGGCAAGAATCTTGACTGTCACACAAGTATTCTGTGTATCTCTGAGAGAAAGAAGCATTCAAAGAATAACAGTGAGTAGGCCTAACCAGCAGATAGTGACAGGGCAGGCACAAGCTCTGCTAGCTGGAGTAGTGCATCAGTCATCCATTTTTTTTGTTAGAGTCTAGTACAGAAGTTGGAAATAGTTGCTGAACGTAACCGGAGTGTGTTCCTTCAAGACTGAACAGCTTTTCTCACTGTGAGTAACTAGTACTGGTATTAGCTACGGCTGTAATGTGGGGTTGAGAGGGTGCAGGACAGGAGAAGCTCTGACATGTTCCTTCTGCTGTGTGTAAAAGCCAAACAGGAGTTGACAGAGAAAAAGACAGAGAGGCTGCCTTAAAAAAATGATTGCACTCCTCTGTAAAGAGAGAGAGAGAGAGAGAGAGAGAGAGAGAGAGAGAGAGAGAGGGAGCTAATTTGCTTATCTGTTCAAACTTATGGTGTAATGTAACACTCTTAGAAGGTAAGGTGCTATCTAGAATCTAAAAGGGTTCTTTGGCTGTCCCCATGGGAAAACCCTTTGAAAAACTTTTTTAGTTCCAGGTAGAACCCTTTTGGTTCCAGTTAGAACCATTTCCCCAGAGGGTTCTACATGGAACCCAAAGGAGTTCTACCTGGAACCAAAAAGGGTTCTACCTGGAACCAAAACGGGTTTTCCTATGTTGACAGCCGAATAACCCCTTTGTAATTTGTACAGTTTCCTGATCAACTGTCTTTCTTTGGTTTGTTTACTCATTAGTGCTGTAGAGAGAGAGAGAGAGAGAGAGAGAGAGAGAGAGAGAGAGAGAGAGAGAGAGGAGAGAGAGGAGAGAGAGAGAGAGAGAGGAGAGAGAGAGAGAGAGAGAGAGAGAGAGACGAGAGAGAGAGAGAGAGAGAGAGAGAGAGAGAGAGAGAGAGTGTGTGTATGTGTGTTAGAGAGAGTGTGTGAGAGAGAGAGAGAGAGAGAGAGATAGAGGGAGGGAGAGTGTGTGAGAGAGAGTGAAAGAAAGAGAGAGAGAGAGTAAAGACAGAGAAAGCAAGATAATCAGAGACAAAACAACAGCTGTTTTGTGTTGTACTATTCTCTCCTGTACAGTTTGGAAAAACTATTTTCCTGTACTGTTTGTATGAGGCCCTGCTATGTGTGTGTGTACAGTCGTGGTCAAACGTTTTGAGAATTACACAAATATAAATTTTCACAAAGTCTGCTGCCTCAGTTTTTATGATGGCAATTTGCATATACTCCAGAGTGATCAGATGAATTGCAATTAATTGCTAAGTCCCTCTTTGCCATGAAAATGAACTTAATCCCAAAAAAAACATTTCCACTGCATTTCAGCCCTGCCACAAAAGGACGAGCTGACATCATGTCAGTGATTCTCTCGTTAACACAGGTGAGAGTGTTGACGAGGACAAGGCTGGAGATCACTCTGTCATGCTGATTGAGTTAGAATAACAGACTGGAAGCTTTAAAAGGAGGGTGGTGCTTGAAATCATTGTTATTCCTCTGTTAACCATGGTTACCTGCAAGGAAACACATGCCGTCATCATTGCTTTGCACAAAAAGGGCTTCACAGGCAAGGATATAGCTGCTAGTAAGATTGCACTTAAATCAACCATTTATCGGATCATCAAGAACTTAAAGGAGAGAGGTTCAATTGTTTTGAAGGCTTCAGGGCGCCCAAGAAAGTCCAGCAAGCGCCAGGACCGTCTCCTAAAGTTGATTCAGCTGCGGGATCGGGGCACCACCAGTGCAAAACTTGCTCAGGAATGGCAGCAGGCAGGTGTGAGTGCATCTCCACGCACAGTGAGGCGAAGACTTTTGGAGGATGGCCTGGTGTCAAGAAGGGCAGCGAGGAAGCCACTTCTCTCCAGGAAAAATATCAGGGACAGACTGATATTCTGCAAAAGGTACAGGGATTGGACTGCTGAGGACTGGGTAAAGTCATTTTCTCTGATGAATCCCCTTTCCGATTGTTTGGGGCAACAGGAAAAAAGCTTGTCCGGAGAAGACAAGGTGAGCGCTGCCATCAGTCCTGTGTCGTGCCAACAGTAAAGCATCCTGAGACCATTCATGTGTAGGTTTCCTTCTCAGCCAAGGGAGTGGGCTCACTCACAATTTTGCCTAAGAACACAGCCATGAACAAAGAATGGTACCAACACATCCTCCGAGAGCAACTTCTCCCAACCATCCAAGAACAGTTTGGTGACGAACAATGCTTTTTCCAGCATGATGAAGCACCTTGCCATAAGGCAAAAGTGATAACTAAGTGGCCCGGGGAACAAAACATCGACATTTTGGGTCCATGGCCAGGAAACTCCCCAGACCTTAATCCCATTGAGAACTTGTGGTCAATCCTCAAGAGGTGGGTGGACAAACAAAAACCCACAAATTCTGACAAACTCCAAGCATTGTTTATGCAAGAATGGGCTGCCATCAGTCAGGATGTGGCCCAGAAGTTAATTGACAGCATGCCAGGGCGGATTGCAGAAGTCTTGAAAAAGAAGGGTCAACACTGCAAATATTGACTCTTTGCATAAACTTAATGTAATTGTCAATAAAAGCCTTTGACACTTATGGAATGCTTGTAATTATACTTCAGTATACCATAGTAACATCTGACAAAAATATTTAAAAACACTGAAGCAGCAAACTTTGTGAAGACCAATACTTGTGTCATTCTCAAAACTTTTGACCACAACTGTATGTGTATGCATAGCCACAGGAAGTAGGGGTATTTAGGGTACTGCAGCACACCCTGAATTAAAAATAATAATAAATAAAGAATAAATCAATTTAATTTGACACATTTTAATTTTTCTTCACAAAAGTAGTGCACTGGGCCTTTACTAGTCCTGTATTAGTGGACCAATATAGCCGTCTGTTGGCGGAAAAAATTGCAGCACCCCCCCACCCCCAAACATCTTCCCACGGCGTGTGTGTGTGTTCGTGTGTGTGTCTGTGTTATAACACTGCATTCATGCTCATTGTGTTGTTTCACCATGCCATGTGTGTTTCTCTGTGTTATCATTAGGGTTGCAAAGTTACCAGAATTACATTTACATTTTAGTCATTTAGCAGACGCTCTTATCCAGAGCGACTTACAGTTAGTGAGTGCATACATTTTTCATACTGCCCCCCCGTGGGAAACGAACCCACAACCATGGCGTTGCAAGCGCCATGATCTACCAACTGAGCTACAGGGGACTTACAATCTTCAAACAAATCTTCAAACAGAATCAATCAAACAGAATCTTCAGTAATTTTGGCAATTAACATAAAATCTATGGCAATCTATCGTAACTTTGGTAATTTATACTTGAATAAAATAAAATAAATCATATACAGTATAGTATTCATTTTGTATATCTGTGTCCATATTGTCCATGAGTTTCTAGTAGATAGACCATATGGTTCAAGAGAAAATAGCCTAATTAATGAAAAAAGCATCTAATCAACAATGGCATTACAACTACTCTTCCGACCATTGACTTTTTTCACAACTGCCACCAGTTTGATGCCAAAACATTGACAACAAATGCATACTGACATAGTAAAATAAATACAAGTTTGTAAAAAAGAAATATAAAGGATATTTCATGCTGAAATCCTCATATTAAACAACAACAAGTTGACGGTTTATATTTAGGATGTTTTACAGTTTTGTCATTTTAATTCTTATTTTAAAATCATCTTATTTAATTACTTCATATAGTTTATGTGTGATGAAAGCCACAAAGAGATTTTTACAGACACCTGTGATAATCTGAAGTACCCAAAAGGGCCACTAGATGTCTTGTGATAGATTACATAAAATCCTTGAAAGATACCAAAATTCTGGTAGTTTACTGGTAAACTTTGAAAGTTTCTAGTAATATACCCTCCCTTTGCCTCCCTAGTTATCATATCCTGTCGCCATGCTCGGAACCTGTCAAAATAGGACAATAACTTCTTAATGGATCACTAATGTAAATGCTCTCTGTGGGATCCAAAGCTGTTGGAGCAGCTATAACAACAATCACTATCTAAGGACAAAACAGCCATCTTCCTCCACTCCCTCCCTCTCTTAACTTGGACTCATAAGGGGATTTAGGAAAAGACACAAATGAAGGAATTATGTGTATTATGCCAAAATGAGCTTCAGCCTTCAGCAGCAAGTAAACAGAGACATTGGTACTCTCTCTAGCCATAGCTTTAGGGTGAAGTGGTATACAAGTGGCTAGTACAGTTTATATATACTATCACACTTTGGCTGTGTGTGTGTGTGTGTGTGTGTGTGTGTGTGTGTGTGTGTGTGTGTGGGGGGGGGGGGGGGGGGGGGGTGGTGCATATTAGTAAACATCTGTATCCTCCTCAGATCTGTTTATGAACAAAAATGTCTACCTTCGCCAACCACTCGACCAATGAGAGCAGCGGGCACAACTGGCGCTGTCAATTCAAGGAGGACTTCAAGTACATCCTGCTTCCTGTCAGCTACACTCTGGTCTTCGTGATTGGCCTAGGCCTAAACGTCACGGCCATGTACGTGATCCTGTTCCGTACGAAGCGCTGGAATCCCTCCACTGTGTACATGTTCAACCTGACAGTGTGTGACACCCTCTACATCCTTACCCTACCCTTCTTAATCTACTACTACGCAGACGAGAACGACTGGCCCTTCAGTGATTCGTTCTGCAAACTCATCCGCTTCCTGTTCTACGCTAACCTCTATGGTTCCATCCTGTTCCTGTGCTGCATCAGCCTGCACCGCTTCCTGGGCGTGTGTTACCCGATGAGGTCACTGAGCTGGGTGAGCGCCCGGAGAGCCCGCCTGGTGTCTGTGGCGGTGTGGGCGTGTGTGTTGATGTGCCAGGCTCCCGTGCTCTATTTCTCACGCACCAGGGACAATGGGACGGAGAGGGTGTGTTTCGACACGTCCAGTCCAGAGTTATTTCATGACTTCCTGGTGTACAGCTCGGTGGTGTCTGTGCTGATGTTTGCCTTCCCCTTCATGGTGGTGATGGTGTGTTATGGACTGATGGTGAGGAAGCTTCTGGAGCCCAGCTGGGGGGCAGGAGGGAGCCAGTCGAGGGGAGCGGGGGGGCTCGCTGCTCATCGCTCCAAACAGAAGTCTGTGAAGATGATCATCATCGTGTTAGCAGTGTTCATGCTGTGTTTTCTACCCTTCCACCTGACCAGAAGCCTGTACTACTCCCTCAGATACCTGGAGCAGATGGACCCCTCCCAGGTACAGTACCACAACCACTGGAATACTACGCTTTTAAAGGCTCTGCCTGGCTCTCCCTTTCACCCAAGGTGCAGGAGCCTGGCTCCAGGTAGCTCTCCTTTTCACCCAAGGTACATGAGCCTGGCTCCAGGTAGCTCTCCTTTTCACCCAAGGTGCATGAGCCTGGCTCCAGGTAGCTCAACCTTTCACCCAAGGTGCAGGAGCCTGGCTCCAGGTAGCTCAACCTTTCACCCAAGGTGCAGGGGCCTGGCTCCAGGTAGCTCAACCTTTCACCCAAGGTGCAGGAGCCTGGCTCCAGGTAGCTCAACCTTTCACCCAAGGTGCAGGAGCCTGGCTCCAGGTAGCTCAGGCTCAATTTAACCACAGCTATTATGATTGTTGTTGTTGATATTGTCATTATCCTTGTATAGGCTGGGATTAAAAGGTAACTAACATGTAAATGTCATTGCCATATCGAGACGACATCTGCAGCATTTAACTTGAATGTGATCTCCGCGAGCGCGGTAACATTGCCTCACGATTGGCACGTGAATGAATCTAAGATAACTCAAGAAATCTGTAATCTATGCCACATAGGTCGTTTTCAAAGGGATTCACTGTTTTTTAAAGGCAGTCGCTCTTTAAAAGGCACATTGTCAACAGAATTATACGGATTGAATCCCAACCTTAATCTTCAAATAATTTTTGTTTTTATTCATCCCCAGGTGAGCTGTGAGCTGCTGAAGGCATCCAGTCTGGCCTATAAGGTGACACGCCCCCTGGCCAGCGCCAACAGCTGTGTGGATCCCATCCTCTACTTCATGGCTGGACAGGGTTTCCGTAGCAATCTCACTAACAGAAGCAGGACATCACCAAGGAAACCAGGAAGTGTGACGGTGGCCCTCTCGACGCAGCTCTGATCGACAGGAGGGTCAATGGGTGTACCCAATAGCTATGGAACACAGTGGATGTACCCAATAGCTATGGAACACAGTGTGTATTCCATTGGAATGGATAGAACACCGTTGGACAAAGGCACTGGATGGATGACTGGTTCCTCTGAACTGAATATCATTATCCCATATGGATCAGAAGACCAATAGAGATCCTATTACTCCTAATTCTATGGGATGACGACTGTTTGAAAGAGAATGAACGGTGTAAAATAAAGTGGGCATATTTTATTGAGTGTTTTATCCCTGACTGGTAAATACTGGGAGATTGCACATAAAGTACAAATATCAGACTTCTTACTTGAAAGTGAGAGTGGTATACAGTAACTCATTGATTCACACTTCTGGAAGCTAAAGGCAGGGAGAAAGACACTGGTTGATGCTGACAGTGTAGAGAGAATATATGCTGTAAACATTTTACATTTACGTCATTTAGCAGACGCTCTTATCCAGAGCGACTTACAGTTAGTGAATACATTTTTTTTTTTATCCTGGCCCCCCGTGGGAATCGAACCCACAACCCTGGCGTTGCAAACGCCATGCTCTATCAACTGAGCTATATCCCTGCCGGCCATTCCCTCCCCTACCCTGGACGACGCTGGGCCAATTGGGCGGCGACAGAGCCTGGATTCGAACCAGGATCTCTAGTGGCACAGTTAGCACTGCGATGCAGTGCCTTAGACCACTGCGCCACTCAGGAGTACAAACATGTTAGTGTTGTTAGTGATATTCTAATCACAATATTGTAATCACAACAAACAGTAATTATATATTTAGGGGCCGCTGATTGTAGTGTATCTAACAAACCTATCTTCAAAAAAACATACACCACACACAACCTGTGAGTCAGTCTGAAGAGGACGTCCTCTTGAGAGCTGTCAGAGAAAGCTGTTTAGCCCCAGGCATGACTTGGGCAGGTTCTAGGGTGTGTCTGGAAAATCATTAATTAACATCCCAAAGACTCACAGATGGAGCTGGATATAATCCAGTTTTATAGAAGCAACACAGGCTCACTGCTGGCACGACTACAAATTACAGAGAAAACACTCATGCTTAAACAAAAGTAGGGTTCCAAAGCTACTGGTAATGCCGCAGCCCGTCTGGTGTTCAACCTTCCCAAGTTCTCTCACGTCACCCCCCTCCTCCGCACACTCCACTGGCTTCCAGTTGAAGCTCGCATCCGCTACAAGACCATGGTGCTTGCCTATGGAGCAGTGAGGGGAACGGCACCTCTGTACCTTCGGGCTCTGATCAGTCCCTACACCCAAACGAGGGCATTGCGTTCATCCACCTCTGGCCTGCTGGCTCCCCTTCCTCTGCGGAAGCATAGTTCCCGCTCAGCCCAGTCGAAACTGTTCGCTGCTCTGGCACCTCAATGGTGGAACAAGCTCCCTCACGACGCCAGGACAGCAGAGTCACTCACCACCTTCCGGAGACATTTGAAACCCCACCTCTTTAAGGAATACCTGGGATAGGATAAAGTAATCCTTCTACCCCCCCCCCCAAAAAATTGTAAAGTGGTTATCCCACTGGCTATAGGGTGAACGCACCAATTGGTGAGTCGCTCTGGATAAGAGCGTCTGCTAAATGACGTAAATGTGCCCTTGAGCAAGGCACTTAACCCTAATTGCTCCTGTAAGTCGCTCTGGATAAGAGCGTCTGCTAAATGACTAAAATGTAAAATGTAATGTAAATGTAATTTACCAAAGTTACCGGAATATTTAGTAATTTAGGTAATTAACAGAACATCTATGGCAATCTATCATAACTTTGGTAATTTATACTTGAATAACTTTTAAAAAATGTATTCATATACAGTGAGGGAAAAAAGTATTTGATACCCTGCTGATTTTGTACGTTTGCCCACTGACAAAGAAATGATCAGTCTATAAATTTAATGGTAGGTTTATTTGAACAGTGAGAGACAGAATAACAACAAAGAAATCCAGAAAAACGCATGTAAAAAAATATATAAATTGATTTGCATTTTAATGAGGGAAATAAGTATTTGACCCCTCTGCAAAACATGACTTAGTACTTGATGGCAAAACCCTTGTTGGCAATCACAGAGGTCAGACGTTTCTTGTAGTTGGCCACCAGGTTTGCACACATCTCAGGAAAGATTTTGTCCCACTCCTCTTTGCAGATCTTCTCCAAGTCATTAAGGTTTTGAGGCTGACGTTTGGCAACTCAAACCTTCGGCTCCCTCCACAGATTTTCTATGGGATTAAGGTCTGGAGACTGGCTAGGCCACTCCAGGACCTTAATGTGCTTCTTCTTGAGCCACTCTTTGTTGCCTTGGTCGTGTGCTTTGGGTCATTATCATGCCGGAATATCCATCCACGACCCATTTTCAATGCCCTGGCTGAGGGAAGGAGGTTCTCACCCAAGATTTGACGGTACATGGCCCCGTCCATCGTCCCTTTGATGCGGTGAAGTTGTCCTGTCCCCTTAGCAGAAAAACACCCCCAAAGCATAATGTTTCCACCTCCATGTTTGACGGTGGGGATGGTGTTCTTGGGGTCATAGGCAGCATTCCTCCTCCTCCAAACACGGCGAGTTGAGTTGATGCCAAAGAGCTCCATTTTGGTCTCATCTGACCACAACACTTTCACCCAGTTCTCCTCTGAATCATTCAGATGTTCATTGGTAAACTTCAGACGGGCATGTATATGTGCTTTCTTGAGCAGGGGGACCTTGCGGGCGCTGCAGGATTTCAGTCCTTCACGGCGTAGTGTGTTACCAATTGTTTTCTTGGTGACTATGGTCCCAGCTGCCTTGAGATCATTGACAAGATCATCCCGTGTAGTTCTGGGCTGATTCCTCACCGTTCTCATGATTATTGCAACTCCACGAGGTGAGATCTTGCATGGAGCCCCAGGCCGAGGGAGATTGACAGTTATTTTGTGTTTCTTCCATTTGCGAATAATCGTACCAACTGTTGTAACCTTCTCACCAAGCTGCTTGGCGATGGTCTTGTAGCCCATTCCAGCCTTGTATAGGTCTACAATCTTGTCCCTGACATCCTTGGAGAGCTCTTTGGTCTTGGCCATGGTGGAGAGTTTGGAATCTGATTGATTTATTGCTTCTGTGGACAGGTGTCTTTTATACAGGTAACAAACTGAGATTAGGAGCACTCCCTTTAAGAGTGTTCTCCTAATCTCAGCTCGTTACTTGTATAAAAGACACCTGGGAGCCAGAAATCTTTCTGATTGCGAGGGGGTCAAATACTTATTTCCCTCATTAAAATGCAAATCAATTTATAACATTTTTGACATGCGTTTTTCTGAATGTTTTTGTTGTTATTCTGTCTCTCACTGTTCAAATAAACCTACCATTAAAATTATAGGCTGATCTTTTCTTTGTCAGTGGGCAAACGTACAAAATCAGCAGGGGATCAAATACTTTTTTCCCTCACTGTATAGTGTTCTTTTTTATATATACAGTGCATTCTGAAAGTATTCAGACCCATCCCTTTTTCCACATTTTGTTACGTTACAGCCTTATTCTAAAATGGATTAAATAGTTTTTTTCCCTCCTCAATCTACACACAATACCCCATTATGATAAAGCAAAAACAGGTTTCTAGACATTTTTGCTAATTTATTAAAAATAGGGTTCAAGTCCGGGCTCTGTCTGGGCCACTCAAGGACATTCAGAGACTGCATTGTCTTGGCAATGTGCTTAGGGTTGTTGTCCTGTTGGAAGGTGAACCTTTACCCCAGTCTGAGGTCCTGAGCGCTTTTCATCAAGGATCTCTCAGTTCTTTGCTCCATTCATCTTTGCCTCGATCAAGACTGGTCTCCCAGTCCCTGCCGCTGAAAAACATCCGCACAGCATGATGCTGCCACCACCATGCTTCACCGTAGGGATGGTGCCAGGTTTCCTCCAGACGTGACGCTTGGCATTCAGGCCAAAGAGTTCAATCTTGGTTTCATCAGACCAGAGAATCTTGTTTCTCATGGTCTGAGAGTCTTTAGGTGCCTTTTGGCAAACTCCAAGCGGGCTGTCATCTCCACAGAGGAACTCTAGAGCTCTGTCAGAGTGACCATCGGGTTCTTGGTCACCTCCTTGACCAAGGCCCTTGTCCACCGATTCCTCAGTTTGGCCGGGCGGCCAGCTCTAGGAAGAGTCTTGGTGCTTCCAAACTTCTTCCAATCTAAGAATGATGGAGGCCACTGTGTTCTTGGGGACCTTCAAAGCTGCAGAAATGTTTTGGTACCCTTCCCCAGATCTGTGCCTCGATACAATCCTGTCTCGGAGCTCTACGGACAATTCCTCCGACCTCGTGGCTTGGATTTTGCTCTGGCATGCACTGTCATCTGTGGGACCTTATAAAGACAGGTGTGTGCCTTTCCAAATCATGTCCAATCAATTGAATTTACCACAGGTGGACTCCAATCAAGTTGTAGAAACATCTCATGGATGATCAATGGAAACAGGATGCACCTGAGCTCAATTTCGAGTCTCATAGCAAGCAAAGGGTCTGAATACTTATGTAAATAAGGTATAAATGTTTTTTTATATTATTTTTGTAGCAAACATTTCTAAAAACCTGTTTACGCTTTGTCATTTTGGGGTATTGTGTGTAAATTGCTGAGGATTTAAAAAAATTTAATCCATTTTAGAATAAGGCTGTAACGTAACAAAATGTGGAAAAAGTCAAGGGGTCTGAATACTTTCCGAAGGCACTGTATATCTGTGTCCATATTGTCCATGAGTTTCTAGTAGATAGACCCTATGGTTCAAGAGAAAATAGCCTAATTAATTAATCAATTACTCCTGCAACTCGTCCAACTATTGACCTTTTTCACAACTGCCACCAGTTCGACACCAAAACATTGACAAGAAATAGATATTGACATGGTAAAATAAATAAAAGTGTGTAAAAAATATATAAAGTATATTTCATGCTGAAACCCTCATATTAAACACCAATGGTTTTCACTAAGTTGATGGTTTATATTTAGGATGTTTTACAGCTTTGTTTTTTTAATCATCTTAATTATTTCATATACTGGGCCCTAATCTATGGATTTCACATGACTGGGAACACAGATATGCATATGTTGGTCACAGATACCTTTAAAAAAAGGTAGGGGCATGGATCAGAAAACCAGTCAGTATCTGGTGTGACCACCATTTGCCTCATGCAGCGTGACACATCTCCTTCGCATAGAGTTGATCAGGCTGTTGATTGTGGCCTGTGGAATGTTATCCCACTCCTCTTCAATGGCTGTGCAAAGTTGCTGGATATTGGCAGGAACTGGTAAACGCTGTCGTACACGTCGATCCAGAGAATCCCAAACATGCTCAATGGGTGACATGTCTGGTGAGTATGCAGGCCATGGAAGAACTGGGACATTTTCAGCTTCCAGGAATTGTGTATAGATCCTTGTGACATGTGGCTGTGCATTATCAGGTGGGTGGATTATCTGGGCAAAGGAGAAATGCTCACTAACAGGGATGTAAACAAATCTGTGCACAACATTTGAGAGAAAAAAGCTTTTTGTGCATATGGAAAATTTCAGGGATATTTTATTTCAGCTCATGAAACATGGGACCAACACTTTACATGTTGCGTTTATATTTTTGTTCAGTGTATTTATTTGTGGGAAGATTTCCCGTACTGCACTAGAGGGCACCAACGGCTCACTTAACATCCTGCCAATGTTTTTAACATCCTATCAATGTATTTAACGTCATGTCAATGTATTTAACATCCTATCAATGTATTTAACATCCTGTCAATGTATTTAACATCCTGTCAATTTACTGTGCTGATAGTGGATCAATGTTTGTCAACATCATCCATGTTTGATCAATGTTTGTCGACAGCCTTTATTTTTTGGGACCTCATACAGACTCGTTTACTGCTGAGTGTTCATGCATTATAACACAAACCACACACAGACGAGTCAAAATAAACCGCTCATTTATTTCAAGAGTAGAAATATCATAGAGAAAAATGTAACATCATAATAAATACAAATCTACAATGTAGAGAAGATGAATGTTTTCCCATCTTTTCTGCAACACTTCAGTTTATAACATGTCATAATAAATCAGATAAAAACATGGAAATGTTCAACCAATAAAAATGATCAAATCCAGACAATGGTTCTGAACTGCAAAAACAGCAACATACAGAATATAAAATAATAGTTCAAATGTATCATAATCATCATCATTTTCCACCCTTTATAAAATGTAAACTGCAAAACCCAAACTGTGTTTCCACAGTGAAGCAGCTATGTCAGACACTACTCGAAAATCTATTTAAATAACTAACAAAAAAACAGAAGTAAAAACACTTGAAATGCAGCTGAGGGAATGACATTGAGATGGTCAAAGTCAAAATATTCCTATGATAATGTGGTTCCCTTTAGGAGGACTGAGAATACAGCTTTTTTTTTCAGATTACCCAGAGATGATAGTGTCTGTCTGCATGCTCTCCTTGGAGGAGTATGAAAGATTGGGTTTATGTGTTTGCGTGAGTGTGTGTGTGTGTGACAATACGTAACAACAGTTGAATGAAAACGGAATGAATAATGCGTCTGTAGTGCTTTATCTGTGGGGGCAAAAGAGACAAGTTGATTATCCTACTAACTTAGCCTATGTTTGTTGCTAGGCAATCGTCACAAGGCAGGAACTGAGGTCATGGTTTGAGCTAAGTGTCACATGGAGTAGGATGCCACTGATCAATGGTCAGTGTAGCTGGGAGGGTCAACTGATCCTAGATCTGTGACACGCTAGGAGAGAGGAAGTCACAGGACAAAGCACATCTCCCCCAAAATGCCTGGGACTGATTTAAGTGTCAAAAGAGGCACCGCAAACTACTGCCAAACTCACACCCTGTTCCTGACCCTGTCCCTGTCCTGACCCTGTCCCTGTCCTGACCCTGTTCCTGTCCTGACCCTGTTCCTGTCGCTGTCCCTGTCCTGACCCTGTTCCTGTCCTGTCCCTGTCCTGACCTGTCCCTGTCCCTGTCCTGACCCTGTTCCTGTCCTGACCCTGTCCCTGTCCTGACCCTGTCCTGACCCTGTCCCTGTTCCTGTCCTGACCCTGTCCCTGTCCTGACCCTGTTCCTGTCCTGACCCTGTTCCTGTCCCTGTCCTGACCCTGTTCCTGTCCTGACCCTGTCCCTGTTCCTGTCCTGACCCTGTTCCTGTCCCTGTCCTGACCCTGTCCCTGTTCCTGTCCTGACCCTGTTCCTGTCCCTGTCCTGACCCTGTCCCTGTCCTGACCTTGTCCCTGTCCCTGTCCTGACCCTGTCCTGACCCTGTTCCTGTCCTGACCCTGTTCCTGTCCTGACCCTGTTCCTGTCCTGACCCTGTCCCTGTCCCTGTCCTGACCCTGTCCTGACCCTGTTCCTGTCCTGACCCTGTTCCTGTCCCTGTCCTGACCCTGTTCCTGTCCTGTCCCTGTCCTGACCCTGTCCTGACCCTGTCCCTGTCCGACCCTCCTCTGTTCAATTCTAAGAGTTTTAATATTCACGGCCCTATGTACATATATACAGTCATTTACACCTCCGTTACTACATGTTCAACTTCAATCAGAAACTAAATGAAGTTAAATGCCATTTATAAGAGTTAAAGAGGAAAACATGTAGTTCATGCTGTTTGTATATCATTATGTCTCTCTGTCAATGTTGGAGCTCAACCCCTAAGTTTGCCTAGATAATACTAGTATTACCTAGTTAAGACTACATTCAACAATATCAAGAAGGCCTAAAAATTCCGCTAATCAGTGTGTCAAATATAAGAAGAGCAAAATCATCAATAACGGCTAAAAGTGTTCAAAAAATGATTAAAAGTTTTATCTAGACTACAAATTGGAGTAGTTTCCTATAATATTAATACTTGTTATTTTTTGTATGTGTGCTATGTGTCTATGTAGGCCTACCTCTGTTCGTGTGTGTTCGTGTGTGTGTGTGTGTGTGTGTGTGTGTGCGTGTGTGTGCGTGTGTGTGTGTGTGTGTGTGTGTGTGTGTGTGTGTGTGTGTGTGTGTATTGCACAGTGTCGAGTGCAGACGGTGTTAAGGTCCTCCAACCTGTCCAGACTCTTATGGAAGCACAACCACACAGGTGGGTTGATTCATAGTTTGTTCTGCCTCCCTTCTCCTCCCTGCCTCTAAAGACATCAGGATAAAATACAAGTTGTTTGTGTTATAAATACAAGGGTTTCCCTTTCTCTGGCACCCAGGCTAACTTCCCAACAAGCACCCAGGCTAATTTCCCAAATCCCGAGGAGGATAATCAACCTCTCTGGTCGCCATTTTGGAATCCCATCACATCCATCGATCAGCGAGGTAGAGTTATTTTTTACCCAGCATTCCTCTCTGCGAATGTTTAGGTGTTAACCTGAGAGAGAGAGAGAGAGAGAGAGAGAGAGAGAGAGAGAGAGAGAGAGAGAGAGAGAGAGAGAGAGAGAGAGAGAGAGAGATTATTCGAATGGTTGATCGTTGACTCACAGGATGTTGTTTCACGGGAGTTTGACTTACAGGCAGGACTTGAGAGGTAGGGCGTGTGTGTGTGTGTTCCGAATGTCCCCACCAGGGGTCAGTAGCTTCCTCACTAACTGTCAGGGATGGGTTGCCAACTGGCGATTTGCCGAGAAAATAAAATGTCATTCATTCATTCGTCAGCATCGACAAACCGTAAGTGGGTTGTGATTGTGTGTGTCACGTTTAAATGTGCTGAGCTAGACGTGTGTTTTTGTCATTGATGACTAACTAGGGAGGGTAGGGTGTGGTGGAGGGAGTTCTTCCCCTCACCACAAAGGCAATGTGTTACTATTTCATCAAATATAACATGTAAAATAATTCAGCGGTTACTAGAAGAACCTGATCTAACTTCCTCTGTGTTCTCACAGGGACTCCTGAGAGAACTCAACAGCACTCCAAGAACCAGAATGTTCAGTGGAGTGGAGAGAGGAAGAGAGGAGGTGAAAATAAATGAGAGAAACATGAGAGGCAGAGTCAGCAAGAGAGAAAGAAGTAACCCTCACCTCTTCTGTACTCCTGGCAGCTGAGGATGATGATGATGATGGTGGTGATGATGAAGACTTGTTCCTCCCCAGCAGAGATGAATCATCCACTGAACCTGAGTCACTCGACTCTGGGCGGAACGTCATCTCCATGGAACCAGGCCTCTGCTCCTGAATCTGAGCCACCTGGAACCTGTCAATCAAATAGAAGATTGACACACGGTGCATGTATATACATATGTGTGTACAGAATGTTCACACTTAGGAACAGCATGTGTGTGTGTGTGTGTGTGTGTTTCCATCCTCACCTCCCGACAGACCGGGTCACCTTCCCAGGCATCCTCCACTTCCCCTCAGGGAGTGACCCTGACCCAGGCCTGGGGGTCTGGGAGATCTTAGGGGTGGAGTGGTGTGTGTCCACAGGGGGCAGGAGAGGGGTCTTCTGGAGGGGCTGGAGGTCCAGAGGGGGTAACAGGAGAGAGTGTGGGGATTTGAGGGGGCCAAGGGGGGTTTGGCGGAACTGTGGGGGTTTGAGGGGGCCGAGGGGGGGCAGGAGGATGGGGGGCCATTTCTTCTGGGCACAGCGGGAGCAGCAGTAGCCATGTCGGGGGCCAGACAGGCCAGACAGACCAGAGATGGTGTGGAGGTGAGACTGGTGAGGGCACAGCCTGGGTAAGGAGAGGAACTGAGTCAGAGGAGACAGCACCGGGAACCTGGAGCAGGGAGAGAGAGAGAAAACATGTATGAGCAGGTATGCACACACACACACACACACACACACACACAAAAGCAGGTATGCACAGACAAGGAAATTACCATAGTGCTTCACACATGCAAAACACACACTTTTACATGGTTTTGGCGTATGCATGTGTTTGTTTGTTTGTTTGTTTGTGTGTGTGTGCACATGTGTGCGTGCATGCGTGTGTGTGTGTAATAGCGTGGGGACAGACAGTAATTCTCCGCAGATAATCTACCCCACAGCTGGTTTCTGTCCAACTACATCCCCCTATTCAGAAACTACACCAACCCCCCTAGCCTACTGAAGCCCCTAGCCTACCAGTAAAATGCCTGGCAACGGACAGAGCCCTCCCTTTATTAAAATGCACAGTGTCCAAGCGGCCCTCCCATCCCTGCCTTTATGAAACCCCTCAGTGCAGAGCTGCCTATTGTTCCATTGTGTGAGAGGGTCCCGTGCTGCTGCTCTGACCCCAACGACCCCCACCACCTCTGGTTACCCCTGGACCACAGAAAAGGCATGTGTGTTGGTGAGCGCATATGCATGCGTGTGTTTGTGTGTTCGTGCGTGTGTGTGCATAATGCTTGTGTGTGTGTGTGTGTGTGAGTATGTAGAGCTTTCCAGAACGCAAGCTGACAGGCAGTGCCACAGACAGCAGAACATTTGACATACAGACATAATCTTTAGGGCTTTTCATTTAGCTGTACCTTATATCCCAGTGCTGTAACCAGTGCTCTATACCCTGTGCTCTATACCCTGTGCTGTATACCCTGTGCTGTATACCCTGTGCTGTAACATGTGCTCTATACCCTGTGCTGTGACCAGTGCTCTATACCCTGTGCTGTGACCAGTGCTCTATACCCTGTGCTGTGACCAGTGCTCTATACCCTGTGCTGTGACCAGTGCTCTATACCCTGTGCTGTGACCAGTGCACTATACCCTGTGCTGTAACCAGTGCACTATACCCTGTGCTGTGACCAGTGCACTATACCCTGTGCTGTAACCAGTGCTCTATACCCTGTGCTGTGACCAGTGCTCTATACCCTGTGCTGTGACCAGTGCTCTATACCCTGTGCTGTGACCAGTGCTCTATACCCTGTGCTGTGACCAGTGCTCTATACCCTGTGCTGTGACCAGTGCTCTATACCCTGTGCTGTGACCAGTGCTCTATACCCTGTGCTGTGACCAGTGCTCTATACCCTGTGCTGTGACCAGTGCTCTATACCCTGTGCTGTGACCAGTGCTCTATACCCTGTGCTGTGACCAGTGCTCTATACTCTGTGCTGTGACCAGTGCTCTATACCCTGTGCTGTATACCCTGTGCTGTGACCAGTGCTCTATACACTGTGCTGTGACCAGTGCTCTATACCCTGTGCTGTAACCAGTGCTCTAAAAACCTGTTTTGAAGACAATCATGGTACCGATAATTGCTTCTAATACACCAGATGTATGTCCTTGAACCAATTATTTTTAAATCGCACACAGAATAAGTTATAAGGATCATTTAGTTCACAGGTGTCAAACTCATTCCACGGAGGGCCGAGTGTCTTCGCTCCTCCCTTGTACTTTATTGATGAATTAAGGTCACCGATTAGTAAGGAACTCTCCACAACTGGTTGTCTAGGTCTTAATTGAAAGGAAAAAACAAAAACCAGCAGACATTAGGCCCTCCATGGAATGAGTTTGACACCCCTGATTAATGGCAGCCTGCGGTCGGCCTTTAACTAGAGTTACTCAATGAGAGGGGGCAGCACTGAGCTAGCCTGCAACATCACTTCCTGGAGTAGCTCAAACTGTGCATGGCATGTCTTCATGAGACGCCATCTTAACCGACTTCATTTGGCTTAGATGCACTATTGAGTCTTCACATAGGGTTTCAACGGGAGGGTATATTACTGGAAACTTTCTAAGTTTACCAGTAAGCTACCAGAATTTTGGTATCTTTCGAGGATTTGACGTAATCTATCACAAAATCCCTTTTGGGTCCTTCAGATTATCACAGGTGTCTAATAGTCTCTGGTCCTCTATGTGGCCTTATCACATGTAAAATATGAAATAATTAAGTAAGATGATTTTAAAATAAAATAAAATAGAATGACAAAGCTGTAAAACATACTAAATATAAACCATCAACTTAGTGAATAACACTGGTGTTTAATATGAGGGTTTCAGCATGAAATATCCTTTATATATTTTTTACACTAAATATATTTGCTGTCAATGTTTTGGCGTCAAACTGGTGGCAGTTGAGGTAATTGATTAATTAATTAGGCTATTTTCTCTTTAACCATTATGGTCTATCTACTAGAACCTCATGGACAATATGGACACAGATATAATAAATGAATACTATGTATGAATACATTTTTGTTGTGTTACAGCCTGAATAAAAAATTGATTAAATTTAGATTTTTTTGTCACTGGCTTACACACAATACCCACAATGTCAAAGTGGTATTCAACCCCTTTCTTATGGCAAGCCTAAATAAGTTCAGGACTAAAGATTTGCTTTACAAGTCACATAATAAGTTGCATGGACTCATTCTGTGTGCAATAATAGTGTTTAACATGATTTTTGAATGACTACCTCATCTCTGTACCCCACATTATAATTATATGTAATGTCCCTCAGTTGAGCAGTGAATTTGAAACACAGATTAAACCACAAAGACCAGGGAGGTTTTCCAATGCCTGGCAAAGAAGAACACCTATTGGTAGATGGGTAAAAAAAACAGACATTGAACATCCCTTTGAGCATGGTGAAGTTATTAATTAGACTTTGGATGGTGTATCAATACACCCAGTCACTACAAAGATACAGGCGTCCTTCCTAACTCAGTTGCCGGAGAGGAAGGAAACCTCTCAGGGATTTCACCATGAGGCCAATGGTTACTTTAAAACTGTTACAGAGTTTAATGGCTGTGATAGGAGAAAACTGAGGATGGCTCAACAACATTGTAGTTACTCCACAATACTAACCTAAATAACAGAATGAAAAGAAGAAAGCCTGTACAGAATACAAATATTCCAAAACATGCATCCTATTTGCAACAAGGCACTAAAGTAATACTGCAAAAAAAATAGCTAAGCAATAAATGTTTGTCCTGAATACAAAGTGCTATGTTTGGGGCAAATCCAATACAACACATTACTGAGTACCACTCTCCATATGTTCAAGCATATTGGTGGTTGCATCATGTTATGGGTATGTTTGTAATCGTTAAGGACTGGCAAATTTTTCATGATAAAAAAGAAAGGAATGGAGCTAAGCACAATCCTAGATGAAAACTTGGTTCAGTCTGCTTTCCACCAGACACTGGGAGATAAATTCCCCTTTCAGCAGGATAATAACCTAAAACACAAGGCCAAAGCTACACTGGAGTTGGTTAGCAAGAAGACAGTGAATGTTCCCGAGTGGCCGAGTTACAGTTTGACTTAAATCTGCTTGACAATCTATGTCAAGACCTGAAAATGGTTGTCTAGCAATGATCAACAACCAATATGACAGAGCTTGATGAATTTAGAAAATAATAATTGCCAAATGTTGCACAATCCAGGTGTGGAAATCTCTTAGAGACTTACCCAGAAAGACTCACAGCTGTAGTAGTCACTGCCAAGGGGTGTGAATACTTATGTCAATTAATTATTTCTGTATTTAATTTGCAAAAAATTCTAAAAACATGTTTTCACTTCGTCATTATTGGGTATTGTGTGTAGATGGGTGAGAAAAAAATAAATGTTATCCATTTTGAATTCAGGCTGTAACACAACAACATGTGGAATAAGTCAAGGGGTATGAATACTTTCTGAAGGCACTGTGTACAGTCATTGCTTTCACCCAGTATGACCAAGCAGAACTCTGTTTAAGGTATGTATGTCTATGCGTGTATTATATATATACGAGGCAGGGTTCTCACTTGATTGAGGAGGCTTTGCTGATGGCCATCTGTTTACTCTCATACTCCAGCAGCAGCTCCTCCAGGGCAGCAGCATTCTCTACAACACATTCAGCACTTCAGGAAATACTGCCTTTCATTACTACACACATAACTGTATGAGTGATTGGATGCACACCCACCCACCCACCCACACACACACAGACCCACCCACCCACCCACCCACCCACAGACACACACACACACACACCCACCCACCCACCCACAGACCCACCCACCCACCCACAGACCCACCCACACACAGACACACACACACACACACAGACACACACACACACACACACACACACACACAAATGGGGATTCCTTAGGGAAGATCTTATTGGCAGTGGATGAAATCAAATCAGTGTGATGTCCGCACTCAAAGTCAATTGGCTATTATCTTCTATTGATGAAGTTAGTGGTTTCAAAATCCACAAACCCATTAGCAGAGATGTCTCTCTGTGTTTGCAGATCTGAACAGACTGTATAGCAGTAAGCAATATGGCTAAACCTGGCCTGGTAATGGGCATAGGAGAGCTTACACCTATCTTTTTCACCTTCAGATCGCCAACACAGAAGGGGTAGAGGCTAGGGGTTGCTTTAGGCTCAGGCCTATGACATCAGCAGAAGCAGTGACATCATCAGAGACAGTGACATCATCATAAAGGGACTGGTACCTTTTTTCTCTGTGATGAGGCGCACCAGAACACTGATGGTGTCTTCATTAGGATCATCTACGATGTAGGGACAACCGTTACCTACAGAGAGAGAGGGAGAGAGAGAGAGGGAGCGCAGAGGGAGTGAGGGAGAAAGAGAGAGAGAAAGAAAGAAAGAGCACATGAGAGAGAGAGAGAGAGAGGGGAGACGGAGGGAGAGAAAGATTCAACATTAGTTAGTATGGCTACCCAGAGATAAAGCCAGGCCATTTTAAAGTAGCCTACCAGAGAACCAGACAGCGACTGAACTGGGATGAAGTTTATAAATAAGGAAAAATTCCACAGGGATTTGAACCAAAAGGACTTTTCAACTCATTAAAGAGAAGGCAAAGGAAATCATCAAGACGGTCTTTGTCTATTTGAATATGTGTGCGATCTGTGTTTGAGTGAAACTTCAGTGTTATGTATGTGAGGACACGTTAGGGCTGTTGCACACCAACAGAGATGACTAAGCTTGCTAAATCTCCCAAGTTCTGAAATATTCTCTCTCTCTCTCTCTCTCTCTCTCTCTCTCTCTCTCTCTCTCTCTCTCTCTCTCTCTCTCTCTCTCTCTCTCTCTCTCTCTCTCTCTGATAAAGCTGTTTCTCTCTCCAGCCTCTCTGATAAAGCTGTGGGACATGTATGAGAGCAACCAACAGAGAATAGATGTCTCTGTAGCATCCGGCGCCAACCCATAGTGCCAGAGGTGAACAGATGGAGGCACTAGAATAGCTCACTCAGCTACACGCTCCATTCAGCACTCTGTGTTTGCTGGAGTGTGTGTGTGGGCCACAACAATAGTTCTGTCTCCATGGTGACATTTGGTCTCCATGGACAACGGTATCTCTGCAGCAGCAGAGTTGGCCTATCTCTGTGAGACTGCTTCCACAGCCAGCTAATGCTAATGCTAGCAGATATGTATTCTGTAGAGCTTGTACAACCCCATGTTCTCAAATGAGTGTTCCCCTTGAGTGGAGTTTAAAAGAGAACTGACGGAGGAAACGGTGTTGCACGCACTCATGCACACACCCACACACAGATGGATGAGTAAAGTGCTGGTGTAAGAGATTTCTCTTTAGCCCACTCAGGACTAGCCCACTGCCAGACAGCACTGTTATATATATATATATATATATACTTACATAAGAGAGAGAGAGAGAGAGAAAGCGGGGAGACAGAGAGAGAGAGAGAGAGAGAGAGAGAGGGGAGAGAGAGAGAGAAAGCGGGGAGACAGAGAGAGAGAGAGAGAGAGAGAGAATGCGGGGAGAGAGAGAGGGGGGGGAGAGAGAGATGCAGAGACAGAGAGGGGTGAGAGATGGATGAACAGGAGGGATGTTAGGTGGATGAGTTCTAACCTCCGCTGCCTCATTCCCTCTATCATTCAGCATTGCTCTTCGCTCTCCACTCTTCATCTTTCATATTTCCCTTTCTTTTTCACTATTAGCCATTACTTGACACCATCCTCCTCTCTTTACCCCCCCCCCCCCATCTCGCTCTCTCTCCGTCTCTCTTTTTCTGTCTCTGCACCACTGCAGCAGCTTTCCTCAATGCTGCACGAAACAGTAACCCCTACAGACATGAGAGACCTGGAACACATCCAAACACACAGAGGGATGGAGCAGGGAGGGGGAAAGCTGAGGCAGAGGAAAGGAAAGGAGAGAATAAATGATTGAATAATTGATCTGGGAAAGGAGAGATAGACTGATAGTGTCTTGTTCTTCGTAGAGAGGGAGAGGAGGAGGACGGGAGGGCGAGAGAGAGGGAGGGTGTTTCTCCATGCTACAGGGCAGCTACGGTTTCACAACACCAGACAAGGAGATGGAGGCTGAGACACTAGCAACACCAGACAAGGAGATGGAGACTGAGTTCCTAATAAATAAATAATTGGTCATTTAGCAGACGCTCTTATCCAGAGCGACTTACAGGAGCAATTAGGGTTAAGTGCCTTGCTCAAGGGCACATCGACAGATTTTTCACCTAGTCGGCTCGGGGATTAGAACCAGCGACCTTTCGGTTACTGGCACAACGCTCTTAACCACTAAGCTACCTGCCGCCCTTTATGTGGTCCTAGCAACACCAGACAAAGAGCTGGAGGCTGAGACACTAGCAACACCAGACAAGGAGATGGAGGCTGAGACACTAGCAACACCAGACAATGGCATATTATATTATATTAAGGAGCTGGAGACTGTTACTAGCAACACCAGACAAGGAGATGGAGACTGAGTTACTAGCAACATAAGACAAGGAGACGGAGACTGAGACACTAGCAACACCAGACAAGGAGCTGGAGGCTGAGACACTAGCAACACCAGACAAGGAGCTGGAGACTGAGTTACTAGCAACACCAGACAAAGAGCTGGAGACTGAGTTACTAGCAACACCAGACAAGGAGATGGAGGCTGAGACACTAGCAACACCAGACAATGGCATATTATATTATATTATATTAAGGAGCTGGAGACTGTTACTAGCAACACCAGACAAGGAGATGGAGACTGAGTTACTAGCAACATAAGACAAGGAGATGGAGGCTGAGACACTAGCAACACAAGACAAGGAGCTGGAGACTGAGTTACTAGCAACACCAGACAAAGAGCTGGAGACTGAGTTACTAGCAACACAAGACAAGGAGATGGAGACTGAGTTACTAGCAACATAAGACAAGGAGATGGAGACTGAGTTACTAGCAACACCAGACAAGGAGATGGAGGCTGAGACACTAGCAACATCAGACAATGGCATATTATATTATATTATATTAAGGAGCTGGAGACTGTTACTAGCAACACCAGACAAGGAGGTGGAGACTGAGTTACTAGCAACATAAGACAAGGAGATGGAGACTGAGTTACTAGCAACACCAGACAAGGAGATGGAGGCTGAGTTACTAGCAACACAAGACAAGGAGCTGGAGACTGAGTTACTAGCAACACAAGACAAGGAGCTGGAGACTGAGTTACTAGCAACACCAGACAAAGAGCTGGAGACTGAGACATGCAATAGGATATGGAATGCATTCTATTTTCAGAGAGCTGCCCTCTGACCTTTAGGGAGATAGAATGTGTCCTGTTCCCAAGCATAAGAGTTATTATAACAATGTTTAGTTCCCACCAACACACTCTCTCTACATTTTACATTTTAGTCATTTAGCAGACACTATCCAGAGCGACGTACAGTTAGTGAGTGCATACATTTTTTTTCATATCAATATGTAAAAGACTGACAACCATACAGAAATGCATACATGGCTTATTGTAACATGACTACTGTCTATGAAAGGGCTTGAAAGAAAAAGGGATTTGTTTCTGCCCTGTGATTGTGAGAGGTATAGCTATCGTCTGTATCAGAGGACCTACATTACCCTACATTGCTCTGCCGTTAGAGAGATATCAGTATGTTCATTCAGGAACCTCCTTGTGTTCTGTAGAGACCTACTTCCCAGAGTGTGACATGACATGCGATGCCCGTGTGTATCGCCTTACGTGTAAAGCTGGGTGCCTTTCTATGCATCCAAACTAGGTTACCCATATTGGGGAAGGCTTTGAAAATAGATGATTTGAAATAGAGTCTGAGGAGTCAGGTTTACTGTCCAGGCCCAGCTTTTCAAAAGATATCTGATCGGATTTTGGCAATCGGATAGGGTTAAATGTTAGAATTTGGATTTTTCTCAACTGAAAAAATGAGATTCTGATCCTCCGGATAGGGATAAGGATTTGGTAAACCAATCTGACCTTTAATCAGGATTGTATGTAGTTTTTGCGTTTTTCAGGAGTATTTTGATCCCACTGGAAGGTGGATTTAGAAAGGTGAAAGGCACTACAACCAATAAATATCAATGTAACTAAAATGAGGAGGTTAAAAAAAATCTGAAAACCAAAGGTTCATTATGTTAAATTGTAGTATAGGTATGTGGTCAGTTGTTATATTGAGAAGTGTCAAATAAATGCATCTACTTACTTAGAAGTGATATGCATGCTCCATTATTTTTTATCAAGGTATATTTATTCATGTAGTACGCATCTCCATTTCCTTATGACAGTGTATAAGTAGTACCACAACCTGACCAATAGTCTGTTCAAAGCACTGAAAATCCATCCGGATTATTTGATCTTGATATTGTGGTATCTGGATCAGAATGATCTTATCCAATTATTTTCTGAAAAACCGGCTCAAAAACAGCCAGATCGATCTGATCCTGGATAGCAAAAAAAAAAGGATGTCAGAATCCGGATAATTCTGAAAAACTGGGCCCCATTGTCTCCTCTGGTCATCCAAAATATCAGTTCATGCATTGTTGTAAGGACCCTTGAAAACACTTATTCAAGAGAAAAACTAAAAAGGCACAGCCCAGATACGTGATCTATACGAGTATGGATAGAAGCTCGATAGCGAGTACGAGGTAGCGCGATAGCGAGAGAAGAGCTGAGCGAGAGAGATAGAGATATCTCTCTCTCTATCTCGCTCTCTTCTCTCTCTCTCCTCTCTCTCTCTCTCTCTCTCTCTCTCTCTCTCTCTTCTCTCTCTCACCCTCTTTCTGTGGTGTAGCATTCTCCTCATCTCCTCCCTCCTTCTCAGCAGTGCAGTGGTATCCCTTCTTCTTGAGGATATTACAGATGAGGATCCCCAGGAGTCCCATCACACAGAAGATTGGCACCAGGGCGAACACTGCATACTCTGCACTCTTCTCCTCCGGGCTCCGCACTGCTGTACCGTTCACCGGCAGGCCACCACTGCCCGCCGCACCCTTACCCACCGTACGCACTGCACGCACATGGGTAGACTGGGCAGGGGGGGCTGGGGAGAGATAGCGGGGAGAGAGAAAGCAAGAGAATATGACCCTGTTAAAACCATTATTCCACCAGTGGAAACATAATCACTTCAACTTTCTGTTGGTGTGATATTGATTCTGTCCACACTCACCTCTCACACAGGCCAGGTTGGTGGCTGTCTTCATAGCAGTGGGGTGGAACCTGGTGGCACCAACACAGGCTCATATTAATATCACAACTTAACAATACCATGTTATCATAGCAGTGTATTCATTTCATGGTCCCATAATACATTGACATGTTAGTCATTTAGCAGACGCTCTTATCCAGAGAGACTTACAATTGGTGCATTCATCTTAAGGTAGCTAGGTGAGACAACCACATATCACAGTCCTAGTAAGTAAAACTTTTCCAACTGACCATATTTAAAGGTCAACAGTCTATTTCTGTAGAGAGGGGTGGTCCTGGTCCGAGGGTAGAGACGTGCTAACCGGGCTATACAGTGAGTGGTCAGGATACTTCAGTGCTACAGTTGGGCTGGTGTGTTTGGATTCTGTTAGTGAGTTTTCAAAACAGTTCTAAACCATTCCAATCCTATTTTACACACTTTCCAAACAAAGCTCACATTTACAACCATTTCTATTTCTGGAGATGAGATCAAGATGTAGGACTGCAGTAATACACCTGTTTACTAAAGCCAGGGCCACACAGAGAGAAACGATTGTGTAGCAGTATTGTTTTACAGCAGAAGAATCAATCAACAGTTTTGCCTGTATCGAATGTGCTTTATGAAGAAAACATGCTTGTTGGCACTTGTTGGACTTGTTTGGCGAATATTGAGATACAAAGGGAGAGGGTAGTTATTGTCTCCCCATTTTGTCTGTTGTTAATCTTGTTGTTGTTGTATGTGGATACATACCCAGACAGACAGTCTCCGCAGACAGCATCAGAGTGTGAGGTACCAGAGGTCACAACCTTTTTGTTGAGGACCCCGCAGGAGGAGTGTGGGCGGCATTGATCAGAGTCATAGGTGTCCGAAAACTTGCCCGCTGGACAAGACTGACAGTGCACCGCCTCGCCTGGCCCCTCGAGCTGCCCGCAAGCCTGGCAGGAGAAAACATCTTCACATCTCAGAACAGAGTACATGAACCACTGTAATTACACACATACACTACAGTCACATAGGGTTCTGTGTTCAATAAGACGTTCCAAAATAACTAACACTGCCGTTCTGGGCAGGAACTAAGATACATTCATTATTTTGGGGTTTCATATGAAAATGTGCACAGAAATTAGACAGACAGACCGACAGACAGACAGATAGATAGATCAGTACTGTCGTAGCAAAACAATCCTGTAGCAACAGGATTTCAACGTTTAGTCCATAATGTTGCTTCATCGGTGGTTAGGCTATTAGCTGGACAAAAGTAGGCTACATGAAAAGTGGAATACTGTCAATATAACCGTGTGTTAACGTGGGTTTTCTGTGAATTTATGTAAATCACAAAGCTCATCTGTACTTCCAGGCTGCAGGAAAATTCTCAGCAACAAAAGAGTGATCAAATTAAGATCCTACATCTGCATATTAGTCGTATCTAAAATAAGAGCAGACCCACTGGGAACACACTGGTTGAATCAAAGTTGTTTCACCGTCATCTCAACGAAATTACGTTGAACCAATGTGGAGTAGACATTGAATTGAAGTCTGTTCCTAGTGGGGTGGTCCACATGACTTCCATGTAGAGAGAGGAGAAAGAGGAGAGAGATCGAGGTAGCCTCTGTTGACAGAGGGATCGTTGGTGGTAATGGAGTGGAAGAGAGGGGGGTGGCCTGTATAGTGACAAATAAGTTATAAGAAGACATTTAGGATGACAGGGTGTTGAGAGGTGAGTTAGGATGACAGGGTAATGAGAGGTGAGTTAGGATGACATGGTAATGAGAGGGGAGTTAGGATGACAGGGTAATGAGAGGTGAGTTAGGATGACAGGGTAATGAGAGGTGAGTTAGGATGATAGGGTAATGAGAGGTGAGTTAGGATGACAGGGTAATGAGAGGGGAGTTAGGATGACAGGGTAATGAGAGGTGAGTTAGGATGACAGGGTAATGAGAGGTGAGTTAGGATGACAGGGTAATGAGAGGTGAGTTAGGATGATAGGGTAATGAGAGGTGAGTTAGGATGACAGGGTAATGAGAGGGGAGTTAGGATGACAGGGTAATGAGAGGTGAGTTAGGATGACAGGGTAATGAGAGGTGAGTTAGGATGACAGGGTAATGAGAGGTGAGTTAGGATGATAGGGTAATGAGAGGTGAGTTAGGATGACATGGTAATGAGAGGGGAGTTAGGATGACAGGGTAATGAGAGGTGAGTTAGGATGATAGGGTAATGAGAGGTGAGTTAGGATGACAGGGTAATGAGAGGTGAGTTAGGATGACAGGGTAATGAGAGGTGAGTTAGGATGATAGGGTAATGAGAGGTGAGTTAGGATGACAGGGTAATGAGAGGTGAGTTAGGATGACTAGGGTAATGAGAGGTGAGTTAGGATGACAGGGTAATGAGAGGTGAGTTAGGATGACAGGGTAATGAGAGGGAGTTAGGATGACAGGGTAATGAGAGGTGAGTTAGGATGACAGGGTAATGAGAGGTGAGTTAGGATGACATGGGTAATGAGAGGTGAGTTAGGATGACATGGTAATGAGAGGTGAGTTAGGATGACAGGGTAATGAGAGGTGAGTTAGGATGACAGGGTAATGAGAGGTGAGTTAGGATGACAGGGTAATGAGAGGTGAGTTAGGATGACAGGGTAATGAGAGGTGAGTTATGATGACATGGTAATGAGAGGTGAGTTAGGGATCTTATGTCCAACCTTGATTGGCTCCTGGCCACTGGGGCACTCCAGACACACACACCCCTCCCCCCACCGACACTGCACGGCTACAGTCCCTCCAGAGCCAAACACCTGGAATACACACACAGATCAGTGACACAAATAATTAGACACGCACGCACGCACGCACGCACGCACGCACGCACGCACGCACGCACGCACGCACGCACGCACGCACGCACGCACGCACGCACGCACGCACGCACGCACGCACGCACGCACGCACGCACGCACGCACGCACGCACGCACGCACGCACGCACGCACGCACGCACGCACACACACACACACACACACACACACACACACACACACACACACACACACACCACACACACACACACACACACACACACACACACACACACAGGACACAACAATCACACACGCACGCACGCACACCACACGCACACACACACACACACACACACACACACACACACACACACACACACACACACACACGACGATACGTACTGTGAGAAGGACAAAAGCTGAGCAGCAAAGGTGGTTCCTCATCTTCTTCCAGATATTCTTCTATGAACATATGATCTAGAACAGAGAGGATCATGGGACAACAGGTGAGCTATAGTCAGGGAGGAAATCGAATGCATAATCAAAAGGTTTGGTTTTGCCTGAAGAGATAAAGATCTCTGACTACAGCATTATTCATTACCGTGACAACCCAACATGACACACTCCTGAATCATTACCGTGACAACCCAACATGAACAGCCAGTGTTCATGGACAGTGGACACAGGTCAGACAGTGACACACAGGGTATTCTGAGGTGACAGCAGAGCCAAAGATAGATAGTTTGGGCATTGAGGTTTCTAAGAATACATCATATAATTACAGTGCCTTTCGGAAAGTATTCAGACCCCTTGACTTTCCCCACATTTTGTTATGTTACAGCCTTATTCTAAAATTGATCAAATAAAACATTTCCCTCAGCAATCTACACACAATACCCCATAATGACAAAGTGAAAAGAGGTTTTTAGACATTTTTGCAGGTGACCAAGAACCCGATGGTCACTCTGACAGAACACTTTCCGAATGCACTGTATATCACAGTCATGTTACCGCAAACCCATTAAGTAACTACCACTCACATCCTCACATCATACCCTTGCTTCTAGACGTGCACGCATGCACAAACACACACACACCAACCTGTCTACATATCCTCTGGCCAGCTGAAGGACTAAAACAAATAACACCCCCAGGACACACAGTGAAAGGCAGAACTGTGACAGTGAAAGGCAGAACTGTGACAGTGAAAGGCAGAACTGTGACAGTGAAAGGTCAGAACTGTGACAGTGAAAGGCAGAACTGTGACAGTGAAAGGTCAGAACTGTGACAGTGAAAGGCAGAACGGTGACGGTGAAAGGTCAGAACTGTGACAGTGAAAGGCAGAACTGTGACAGTGAAAGGCAGAACTGTGACAGTGAAAGGCAGAACTGTGACAGTGAAAGGCAGAACTGTGACAGTGAAAGGTCAGAACTGTGACAGTGAAAGGTCAGAACTGTGACAGTGAAAGGCAGAACTGTGACAGTGAAAGGTCAGAACTGTGACAGTGAAAGGCAGAACTGTGACAGTGAAAGGTCAGAACTGTGACAGTGAAAGGCAGAACTGTGACAGTGAAAGGCAGAACTGTGACAGTGAAAGGCAGAACTGTGACAGTGAAAGGCAGAACTGTGACAGTGAAAGGCAGAACTGTGACAGTGAAAGGCAGAACTGTGACAGTGAAAGGTCAGAACTGTGACAGTGAAAGGCAGAACTGTGACAGTGAAAGGTCAGAAATGTGACAGTGAAAGGTCTGAACTGTGACAGTGAAAGGCAGAACTGTGACAGTGAAAGGTCAGAACTGTGACAGTGAAAGGTCAGAACTGTGACAGTGCGCAGATCATTTCCTTCACACTAGACCAAAGAGTAGATCTAGAGACCTGCTAGGAATGCAATTATCTCTCACACACACACATTTTAGTCATTTAGCAGACACTCTTATCCAGAGCGACTTACAGGAGCAATTAGGGTTAAGTGCCTTGCATCGACAGATTTTTCACATAGTCGGCTTGGGGCTTCGAACCACTCGACCTTTTGGTTACTGGCCCAACGCTCTTAACCGCTAGGCTACGTGCCGCCCTACACAAACATACACACACACTAAACAGTGCCAAAACAATAAATAATAATATTTGCCATTTAACAGACGCTTTTATCCAAAGTGACTTACAGTCATGCATGCATACATTTTATGAACGGGTGGTCCCGGGAATCAAACCCACTACCCTGGCGTTGCTCTACCAACTGAGCTACACTTTAATGACAAAACCTACAGGTAAGCTCTGTGAATCTCTATGAATCTCAAATGACTAATAGATTATGAATGACTAGTCTTCTGTAAGAGAGGTGCATATTACACCATCACCACAATACCAGTAACATGTTGTATCTAGAACTCGAGTAAAATGGGAAAATGACATCCATCTAAGCAGTCATAACACTACAATAACAAGTCTTTAGAACCTTAGGTAACCTGAGTCTGCCAGCTCCAACTATACTTCATTCAGAGGCTGATCCAACCCAAATGTAAAAGGCTCTGCAAGGTCAATCCAACGTCTGCGTTGGCCGTGCAGCATTTACGGTGATACGGCCTCTGCAGAAGTCAGGGCATTCATACTTTTTGCGCTTTGTGGAGCAGCACAGAGCTGTTGAATAGAGCTGTTGTGGAGGAGGTTGTCAAGGAAGTGAGTTTGTGTCTATACAAGACCTCCCGCCCCCACCTACCGTCAACCAATCATGTTAATGAAGAGCTATACGGAGCCCTCCGCATTGTTAAAATATTTGGGAGGCACACAGCGATGTGATATGAAGCTCAATTTGGCCTCTGCGTGGCTCCATACGGAGCATCCAACCACATATGATCAAGCATAAATAGGCTTTAAACTAGACATCAGGATTGATGTTTCAATGGAAAAGAGAGTGAGCCGTTTAACTCTCCCGACTTCAAATACCCCATTCCCTCCTTCCCTCTCTCTGCAACGCTCTCTCCCTCCCTCCCTCCCTCCCTCCCTCCCTCCTTCTCTGTGCCGTCCCACTGAGACAAAGTGTAACGTTGTCCAGCAGCTAAATAAAGGAACAATTAACTTTCAGAGGATTCCTCTCCTGTCTGTCGTCAATAAAACTGCCTTCCTGACTAAACACACAGAGTTCTAAACGGAGGAGCGAGAGGGAGAAAGAGAGAAAGAGAGAGAGAAAGAGAAAGAGAGAAGAGAAAGAGAAAGAGAGATAGAGAGAGAGAGAGAGAGAGAGAGGCAAACTCACCCAAGACTGGCAGTGGACTTGGACTCAGTTGCCCTAGCAACAGACTGAGGATGCTATGGATGCTGATAGAATGCTGAGTCAGGGAGATACATATACTGTTTGGTTCCCTCTCTTTCTACCACACACACACTGTTCTCTCTCAGTGTGGCAGTGTAGTCCGTGATACAGGCAAAGGGAACGTGCACACACTTACACTGCCTAGTCCTACAGAGCACTCAGAGTGACACACACACACACACACACACACTTAGTATTCTCTCTCTTAGGCTAGGCTGGCTGCAGTGTACCTGTGCCTGTGACTGAGTAACTGGCATCACTTATACTGTCCCTCTCACCACAGCCACACCCCTTTCTGCCTACAGACCCACAGGCCCTGCCCCTATACGCTCTCCACCGCCCTCAGCTCACCCATACACACACACACACACATACAAGCACGCATAGACACACACACAGTGATTAGGCAGGGTAAAGTGTTGGTTATGACCGCTGACACTAACTAACATGTTTTGCTGTGTGGTCTGGGGGCAACATCACAATGTCCAGTCCTGGGCTCACCTTAAACACACACACGCACACCTGGTGATTTGAATGATGTATGTCTTTGTACGCTATCCCCTACTGCTCCGCACACAGACCTACTAAACATTTTAATATTTACAGTACATCTGCTCTACACAGACCTACTAAACAGTTGGATATTTACAGTACATCTGCTCTACACAGACCTACTAAACAGTTGGATATTTACAGTACATCTGCTCTACACAGACCTACTAAACAGTTGGATATTTACAGTACATCTGCTCTACACAGACCTACTAAACAGTTGGATATTTACAGTACATCTGCTCTACACAGACCTACTAAACAGTTGGATATTTCCAGTACATGGTATTTACAGGGCAGTGGAGTGTGTGTGCGTCTCGGCTGTTAAATAACTTAACACAGGTCTGGAAAGCATCCCCATCCTTTCCTCTGAGAGGAGAGCTGTGGTAGCATTACACACTGCCAGCAACAGGAACAACCCCAAGCTCTTCCAGAAACAACCTCTGCAGACTCATGCCTCCGAGCCAACGGCAAACGGTCTCTCAGTACACACAAGCACATACAAAACATGTAATGAGTTTCTGATTTTGGGCAGAGGACCTAAACCTAAACATGGCCGTTGTGTCAAATGACAGGGTTCCAGATAATCATTTCAGGGACAGGGAGAATGAGAAACTGAGAATTTAAAAACCACCACTTGGAAAAACACAAGAACTATGAGATGGGTTGCCTCTCCAAACTGAGGTGAAGCGAGAGAGGGAAAGATGGATAGAGAGAGAGAAGGATATAGAGGAGAGATTGACAGACAGGCTTACATTAGCCTCCCTGCCGATAGGGCTTTATTTTTAGACCCTTCGTTAAAAGGCTATAAAGGCTGGATGTAGGCTAATTACAGGTCGTTGGCCAGGCATAATGCCACACTGCCTTAAGAAGCTGTGGCTTTGGGAGCACTTGAGAGAAAACCCCTGATATCAATAAAACAACAACCACTATAGGGAGAAGGAAATAAACTGGACCTGCAATTAAGAGTTGCCATTTTGGAACGTGTCAAGTAACAAATTGGAATGATTTGGGAGCATCAGCTCTCCAAGGTGACCTGGTGAGACTTTTAGGAACCACGGGGTGTGAACATTTCTGCTACAGTCCAGCACTAACACCCCAAGTGAATCCTTTGAAGGGTCTCCAGGAGTGAAACCAAAGAACATTGACCTAAATGTTTTCTGGTTCATCTCCTATTCTGGTCCACAGCAGACCTTTTAGGTTTCAGTGGGAGTGAAACAGCACTGATACAGCAATCTGAATCCCACCTCCCCAGCATCCATGGAGAACCAAACCATCCCAACCTAACCAGTACTAGTAATGTAACACAGACAGTGACCTGGCCTTGGGTTCATTGTGTCTGCTTGGAGAGAAGGACCCAGAGGATAGTATCAGTCGAGACTGAGAGGTGACCTGCTGCTTGGGGAGGAAGACCCAGAGGATAGTTACCTGCTCCTGGCTCTACACATCTTCTAACTCTATGGAATGCTGAGGACAACACGTCCAACAGCTGTGTGTGGTGTTGCATCTAAAGCCAGACAACTAAAACTACATCTCACCCCACAGCACCACTGCATGTCTCACTTCCTTTGTCCTGTGTGCACACTCTTAGAAAAAAGGGTTCCGAAAGGGTTCTTCGGCTGTCCCTGTAGGAGAACCCTTTTTGGTTCCAGGTAGAACCCGTTTTGGTTCCAGGTAGAACCCTATGTGTAAAGGTTTCTATATGGAACCCAACAGGGTTCTACCTGAAACCAAAAGGGTTCTAACAGACAGCCGAATAACCCTTTTAGGTTCTAGACAGCACCTTTTTTTCTAAGAGTGCACATGTCATATCCTGTTTCAATTTTCACCCCATATCAGTCTCTGGACCACTGTACTCCTCTCACTACCCCTCTCTCTCTGTCCCTCCCCTCCCTCCTCTATCCCTCTCACTACCCCTCTCTCTCTCCTCTCTCTTCCATCCCTCTAAACAATTCAGACTCATTCCCTTTCTCCCTCTCTCATTCTAGTTCTCAGTCTCTCCCTCTCCTTTCCTAGTTGCTCAGTCCTCCTCTCTCTTTCTAGTGGCTCAGTCTCTCCTCTCTCTTTCTAGTACTCAGTCGCTCCTCTCTCTTTCCTATGTACGCCAGCCTCCCTCGCTTTCTAGTACTCAGTCTCTCCTCTCTCTTTCTAGTACTCAGTCTCTCCTCTCTCTAGTACTCAGTCTCTCCCTCTCTTTCTAGTGCTCAGTCTCTCCTCTCTCTTTCTAGTACTCAGTCGCTCCTCTCTCTTTCTAGTACTCAGTCTCCTCTCTCTTTCTAGTACTCAGTCTCTCCTCTATTTCTAGTGCTCAGTCTCTCCTCTCTCTTTCTAGTACTCAGTCTCTCTCTATTTCTAGTACTCAGTCTCTCCTCTCTCTTTCTAGTACTCAGTCTCTCCTCTCTCTTTCTCTTCATGTATCCGTCTTTCCCCTCTCCTCTGTCAGTGTCTCTATCCTTCTTTCTCTGTCTATAGTCTCTCTATCTCCTTCGGTCTTCCCTCTTCTCTCTACCTCTTTCTGCTTCTGTCTCTCCCTTCATTTCCTCAGTATTGGTCTTGGCCTCAGAGCTGACAGTCCTGTGCTTGTAGTCTATTGTTTGTATTTTTCAGTTTTCATATCCTCCTTGTTTCCCGGCCTGTACCATCCATTTGCCGCGTCGCTTTGAGGGCAGAGAGGCAATGAGAGGCATGCAGAGGTAAAGAGGCAATGAGAGGCACTCATAAATGGAGAGATGGACTGAGGAATAGATGGGGAAGTTACTGGAAATTAACACCTCCAAAAATACACAGGACTATAATAAAGAACCCAACACAAACGCAAAAGATGGGGCTGAAAATGTAAAAAAAACTAAAGCTAGAGAGGAAAAGGAAGTTAAGAACAGTGGGGAGAAGAGGAGGGAGGGAGAGAAGGAGAAATACTATTTAAATCTGGTCAGCTGTGTTAAACAGTAATTATTGGGCTTTGCCAAACTCCCCCATCTTTGTTTGACCAATGGCAAAAATAGGGTGTGATGCCCACTGATTGCCAGTCACATTTTTGTTTTGTTAGCGGGCTAAAAAAAGAATACAAAAGAAAGAATGAATAGATGGCAAAAACATGTGCATCATTCCACAGTGGTTTTGGGTGAAGACTGAAATCACAGCCAAAGTGTCTAAAGCCTTTTTCTGGGGCCATGATGTCATGCTTGGGCTACACTGAGAAAAGCCTTGGGATTAAAGAAGGAGGGATATAGGAGGCATGAAACCACAACAGGAAAAAAGAGTGACTGGAATAGGTCTGTGAGTGCTCTATTTTTTTTTGCTATACAGTTGGTACATTCTCCCCGCCAGCATTCTCCTTCTCTTCTCTTTTTTTGCCTTCTATTGGGGGGGGGGGGGGGGGGGGGGGATTTAATGAGGCACAATCAAGATGATTTCCACACTCTCAGCTGGTGTGTCCACACTCTCAGCTCGTGCAGTGTTTACCTGACGTCTGAGGAGGAGAGGGAAGCCAACCAGATACAAACACAGTCACTTACAGAGACACAGGAGAGACTATGTGATGTCACTGGGGTAAAATTCCACTGGAATGACATGGTGACATCACTCACTCGGAGTGCGACAGAGAGACAAACACACAGAGCCATAGAATTAGCATTAGTGGACAGGATATCCCCTCTACATGACATGCAGTGGTGCCCATGCTCATCACATCACCTCACAAGTCAGTGATTTGCATCCAGTTCTCCGGCAAGCTGGGGTACAACCTCTATGTCACAATGGAAACAGAAGAGGGACACCAGAGGTGCAAGGACGCTACACGGTCCCCGTTTCCCTCAGCGTGACACACTTAGCAGCCTCTGTCAAGAATTTACAATGAGCTCAGGTTAGGGAAATAATCACATGGCCCCATTGATAGATGCACCATATCTACAGTGAGCTCTAAAAGTATTTGGACGGTGACAATGTTGTTGTTGTTTTGGCTTTGTATTTCAGCACTTTGGATTTGAAATGATACAATGACTATGAGGTTCATATGAAGACTGACAGCTTTCATTTGAGGGTATTTTCATCCATACGTGTGAACCGTTTAGAAATTATAGCACTTTTTGTACATAGCTCGCCCATTTTAGAGAACCAAAAGTATTGGGACAAATTCACTTATATGTGTATTAAAGTAGTCCAAAGTTTAATATTTGGTCCCATCTTCCTAGCACGAAATGATTACATCAAGCTTGTGACTCTACAAACTTGTTGGACGCATTTGCTGTTTGTATTGGTTGTGTTTCAGATTATTTTGTGCCCAACAGAAATGAATGGTAAATAATGTATTGTGCCATTTTGGAGTCACATTAATTGTAAATAAGATGTTTCTAAACACTTTTACATGAATGTAGATGCTACCATGATTACGGATAGTCCTGAATGAATTTTGAATATGAGTGAGAAAGTTAGACGCACAAATATCATACCCCCCAAAAAATGCTAACCTCCCTTGTTATTGTAATGGTGAGAGGTTAGCATGTCGTGGGGATATGACACATGTGCGTCTTTCTCACTCATTATTCAGGATTCATTCAGGATTATCCGTAATCATGGTAACATCCACATTCATGCAGAAGTATTTAGAAACATATTATATTCTTATTTACAATAAAAGTGACTCCAAAATGACACAATACATTATTTACCATTCATTTCTATTGGGCACAAAATAATCTGAAACACAACCAAAACAAACAGCAAATGCGTCCAACAAGTTTGTAGAGTCACAAGCTTGATGAAATCATTGCACACTAGGAATATCTATACAAGGCATTTTTAACAGGTTTCAAGTGATGAGGAAAAGGCCCACACTTACATTGAGGGAGTATGTTTAGGTGAATGTGTTCAGATTCTTCCCTTTAGCGTTACAGACATAAACATAGGATCTAAATTAATACCTTATGCTAGAACAACTCAATACCTATGGAGCTGGATTCCTGGCCAATTCGCCAATGGTGTTAAATTCATTACCTAGAATGTAGCCACAGAAACTGAAATTACTTTTACGCACACAAGCATGCACATACACATGACATCACTTTGAGGCACAGACACTGCTGGAGAACGAGTGAAAATAAGAAAAACGATGAGACTATGAGAGCGGGGAAATCGTTAATGACAGCCTGGAACAATCAGCATTCCCGGGGGAAAGTCCCACCCTCTATGCGGTGGGACGGTGGTGAAGGCTTCGGGGGAGATTTTGGTGTACAGGAGACAATTCAGATGGTGGCCATCATGTTCAGAAAATGCATTTAATGTCCTAACAGTCACCTGATACGATTGATCAGATGGCTCAATGGCCCTAAGGTCTCAACATATAGTCATTCTGAATGTATACATGCATCATCACAGACATTGGGTAATATGAGACTGATAACACTTTCAACAACTTTCAATTGAACAAAGATTGCAGGTGTCTGGGAATGTCTGAGGAGAGTTCTCTTATCTCAGTAGGAAAATACAGTTTCACACTAAATGTCTTGATAATGTCCTTTATTACATACTGGGCCTCAGGGATACCAAAGTAAAGGTCAATCCAGTGTGTCCACAGCCGAACCCTTCAGTGGGAATGAGGGGCGTCATGCAGCAATTATTTTAGAGGGGGCACAAAGTACGTGAGGATGGAGGGAGGGTGGTCTGGACCGGAGGGTGGATGGGAGGGGGGCTTTACATTTTTCAAACACCTTAAACAGCTTTTTCCTGCAACCTAGAGCCATAATCATCATGCCTAATTCTGTTTTTTTTTTTTTATGTTGATTTTTTCTGCATAGGTTATCTGAGCATACCTCTATACCTGTTCAATTGTCATTTCAATTAATGATGCACATTGATTCTTTAAGAACTTTTAAATAACATCTCAATATACTGCCCTAACATGCCTAGGATATTACATCCACATTACAACAGAGTACATGGGATTATACCACACATCATCAATACAGGCACATATCATTAATACACACATCATGATATTGTCATAAGGTGCTAGATTACATTTAAAGCAAGTATTTTTCTGCATATCTAAGCATACCTCTTGAGCCATCTGTATCTTCCTGACTGGTATTTTATAAACTACGTAAATAGAGTATGCATCTCTATAAAAAGCATCTCTGCTAAAATATGGGTAAAAGATTTAAAGGAATCAGTACTTTTCAGTGTGCCTCCTTCGCAAAATACTGTTGACAGATCTTTTTATAAATAATTATGATAAAACATTGGCTTAAAAATGAAGTTTAGTAATTAATTTAACATCAGAAAAATAAAAAAAACAGACAAATCTGAGGGGGCATATAACTTTGTGCCCCCCTATGGGCATGACTCCTCTGGTGGGAATGATAACCAGCTCACGGGAATGTTAAATGACTCAATGAGTGTGTGTGTATATATGTAGACTGTGTTTATGAGCAGGGCTTTAGTCATGGGTGTTACAGTCAAGGCAGGTGGTACTTTCCTCATCTCTTCTCTTCTCTTAACTATCAGTTTGCCTCCTACAGTTTTGCCCCCATTTCACACACATATACTTATGCATCATAAACATTTTAGTTGGGTTCAATATCTTTATGAAAAATATGCTGCCTGCAGAAATACAAGGTCTCAATTTTCTGCTGTGTTGAATGCCATCTCATTACTTGGTGGTTGTTTAAGCATCAAACATGGCTGCCGAAATAGTCACATGAATGACTGAGGCTAGGCTCCAAACCATCACAGAAAATCCTGTTCTGCCTGGTCACAAAGGACTGGAAGTTAGGCTTGACTGTGTATGTGTATACAGTGAGGGAAAAAAGTATTTGATCCCCTGCTGATTTTGTAAGTTTGCCCACTGACAAAGACATGATCAGTCTATAATTTTAACGGTAGGTTTATTTGAACAGTGAGAGACAGAATAACAACAACAAAATCCAGAAAAAACGCATGTCAAAAATTTTATAAATTGATTTGTATTTTAATGAGGGAAATAAGTATTTGACCCCTCTGCAAAACATGACTTAGTACTTGGTGGCAAAACCCTTGTTGGCAATCACAGAGGTCAGACGTTTCTTGTAGATGGCCACCAGGTTTGCACACATCTCAGGAAAGATTTTGTTCCACTCCTCTTTGCAGATCTTCTCCAAGTCATTAAGGTTTTGAGGCTGACGTTTGGCAACTCGTACCTTCAGCTCCCTCCACAGATTTTCTATGGGATTAAGGTCTGGAGACTGGCTAGGCCACTCCAGGTCCTTAATGTGCTTCTTCTTGAGCCACTCCTTTGTTGCCTTGGCCATGTGTTTTGGTTCATTGTCATGCTGGAATACCCATCCACGACCCATTTTCAATGCCCTGGCTGAGGGAAGGAGGTTCTCACCCAAGATTTGATGGTACATGGCCCCGTCCATCGTCCCTTTGATGCGGTGAAGTTGTCCTGTCCCCTTAGCAGAAAAACACCCCCAAAGCATGTTTCCACCTCCATGTTTGACGGTGGGGATGGTGTTCTTGGGGTCATAGGCAGCATTCCTCCTCCAAACACGGTGAGTTGAGTTGATGCCAAAGAGCTCGATTTTGGTCTCATCTGACCACAACACTTTCACCCAGTTCTCCTCTGAATCATTCAGATGTTAATTGGCAAACTTCAGACAGCACTGTATATGTGCTTTCTTGAGCAGGGGGACCTTGCGGGCGCTGCAGGACTTCAGTCCTTCGCGGGGTAGTGTGTTACCAATTGTTTTCTTGGTGACTCTGGTCACAGCTGCCTTGAGATCATTGACAAGATCCTCCCGTGTAGTTCTGGGCTGATTCCTCACCGTTCTCATGATCATTGCAACTCCACGAGGTGAGATCTTGCATGGAGCCCCAGGCCGAGGGAGATTGACAGTTATTTTATGTTTCTTCCATTTGCGAATAATCGCACCAACTGTTGTCACCTTCTCACCAAGCTGCTTGGCGATGGTCTTGTAGCCCTTTCCAGCCTTGTGTAGGTCTACAATCTTGTCCCTGACATCCTTGGAGAGCTCTTTGGTCTTGGCCATGGTGGAGAGTTTGGAATCTGATTGATTGATTGCTTCTGTGGACAGGTGTCTTTTATACAGGTAACAAGCTGAGATTAGGAGTACTCCCTTTAAGAGTGTGCTCCTAATCTCAGCTCGTTACCTGTATAAAAGACACCTGGGAGCCAGAAATCTTTCTGATTGAGAAGGGGTCAAATACTTATTTCCCTCATTAAAATGCAAATCAATTTATAACATTTTTGACATGCGTTTTTCTGGATTTTTTTGTTGTTATACTGTCTCTCACTGTTCAAATACACCTACCATTAAAATTATAGATGAATCATTTCTTTGTCATTGGGCAAACGTACAAAATCAGCAGGGGATCAAGTACTTTTTTCCCTCACTGTATGTGTGTGTGTGTGTGATTAGGTTTGGCTGGACGTAGCTGTGGCCACATCTTGCTCATTTTTGTCAGCATATATTATATTATCCCCTCCCATCTCCTGGATTCACCCAATCAAATTAACAGAAGAGAGAGCAGAAAAGAGCAGAAAAGCCTTTGGTTATCTTTTTTTTTTTTATCAGAGGAAATTGAGATGTGGTTAATCAGGTGTGTGTGTGTGTGTGTGTGTGTGCATGTGTGCTTTTGTGTGTCTATTTTATGGAATTCCAGATCCTAATTCCAGAACCTAATTCCAATGCAGTTTTAATGAGCATCCCCTGAAAGTTGGAATTCTGCTGCGTGTCTAAAACCGAGATCACTCTGATCACTGGGATACAGCGTTCCGGGTTTGGGAATAATTCCCCTCTGGCACGTGTCTCAGAGTCTCTGGAATAGTTCCCCCTCTGATCACTGGGATACAGCGTTCCAGTTCGGAAATAGTTCCCCTCTGGCTCGTGTCGCAGAGTCTCTCCTTCAATTACAATGTTCCTGAGCCCTGCATCCACAGAACTGGGCCCAGGTCGAATTCAGACTCGGGATTGAAGTGGGAATTTCCTTGGCAGGGATATTCCTGGCTGACATTGGGATGGGGACCGCAGTGGCACGGGCCGACTGGATGTGTTCCCAACTGCTCCATTTATGGATGGCAGGACTGACGGATGGCTTGATTACAGCCCAGCCATGCCCCTGTATCCAACACACACACGCAGGCCAAAATGGTTTTAAGTCAGGGTATAAAACGTTTTCAAGATGTGTAGGAGAGTCAAAGTAAGATCCACAATTCCCAAAGAATATACCTGACCCGTTAACTATTACAATAGATAATGTATCACTTTGTACAGTGTGTGTGTTCCCAGTGAGTACAGTGTAATGTATGTAGGTTAGGTTGGCTTCCTCCTCTTGTCCCAAATCCTCATAGAGGTGAGAGGCTGCAGTAAGCTTCCTGTTGGATACAGTTGCTGTTGGAGTAACCACAGTTACAGTCACTATCAGCTGGGACATTTAAGAGCTTGATTGTGGTGTCTCCTCTTTTCTGTCTGTCTGCCTGCCTGTCTGCCCGTCTCTCTGTCTGCCTGTCTGGGAGTGCTGGGTGACCACCTTACAGAGGCTTTGGGTTCCTCATGAGACCTCAAAAGGTGACACTCCTTTCCTGCCATCCCTCCTTTGCACTCTACCTCAGTTTTCGTCCCACTGTTCTTAACCTCTTCCTTTCCCTCCTCCTTGAGACAAGACATTCACTCAAAGAAATTACAAACTCCAAAACCAATACGGGAATACAAACTCCCAAACCAATACGGGAATACAAACTCCCAAACCAATACGGGAATACAAACTCCCAAACCAATACGGGAATACAAACTCCCAAACCAATACGGGAATACAAACTCCCAAACCAATACGGGAATACAAACTCCCAAACCAATACGGGAATACAAACTCACAAACCAATAAGGGAATACAAACTCCCAAACCAATACGGGAATACAAACTCACAAACCAATAAGGGAATACAAACTCCCAAACCAATACGGGAATACAAACTCACAAACCAATACGGTAATACAAACTCCCAAACCAATAAGGGAATACAAACTCCCAAACCAATACGGGAATACAAACTCCCAAACCAATACGGGAATACAAACTCCCAAACCAATACGGGAATACAAACTCCCAAACCAATAAGGGAATACAAACTCCCAAACCAATACGGGAATACAAACTCACAAACCAATACGGTAATACAAACTCCCAAACCAATAAGGGAATACAAACTCCCAAACCAATACGGGAATACAAACTCCCAAACCAATACAGGAATACAAACTCACAAACCAATACGGGAATACAAACTCCCAAACCAATAAGGGAATACAAACTCACAAACCAATAAGGGAATACAAACTCCCAAACCAATACGGGAATACAAACTCACAAACCAATAAGGGAATACAAACTCCCAAACCAATACGGGAATAAAAACTCACAAACCAATAAGGGAATACAAACTCCCAAACCAATACGGGAATACAAACTCCCAAACCAATAAGGGAATACAAACTCCCAAACCAATAAGGGAATACAAACTCCCAAATCAATACGGGAATACAAACTCCCAAACCAATAAGGGAATACAAACTCACAAACCAATAAGGGAATACAAACTCCCACATTGACACACCCTCCTCTATATCCAGGCCGTGCTTGGCTCACCCATTCTCTACCAGAAAGTATTGGGGTGAACCTTTCTCATTTCAGGCCCAGAGGTTTCCTGGTCAGGTCACAAAGCCCTACACTTTACATAACCAGTCCTACCCCAGGCCACTAGCAGGGAGTCCCACAGACAGACAGACACAAAGAGAGAGGAGTGAGTTATGAAAGACCCTCTCCTTTCCTCAGCTGCAGTGGGAGGGGTCCTATTTATATAACCAAGCAGGAATTTGGCCCTTCACAATGGAACTTTCTGCAAAGAATTTGGCCTGCATGATAACATGACTCCCCTCCTCTTGGAGAAAGCTTCAGGAGCACCAGTGTCTGTGTCCATAGTACACATGTGTGTGTGTGTCCATAGTACACATGTGTGTGTGTGTCCATAGTACACATGTGTGTGTGTGTCCATAGTACACGTGTGTGTGTGTGTGTGTGTGTGTATCAGTAAAACAGAGGGTTGTGTATGTGTCAGTGACGTTAACACTGAAATAGTATGTCCTCCTCTGGGGACATCAAACACTTTAATCACTGCTGGGCCGTTTGCCTTTTGTGGGCAATGACAGGAGATGGTTTTAAGAGGAATTAAATGTCTAAAATAGTGGCTGGTTAAAGTCTGTGGCCAGTTAAATGACACCCATGAGATAGATTCACAGTTCTGCACCGGGGCAATCCATGGTTTGCCAAAATGCACACAGACAAATATATATTACAGATAGGCCTAAGTTGAATGGCAAACACACCCAGTAGGCAAGACACTACAATGATGGAACAATTATGGCATAATTAGTAGGTCACACCTGTGGATAGCGTCTGAGACTAACCGTGAATTGTTATTCACTGCTGGAAAACACTGCTGAAAATAACAACGCATCAAAAACTAAATCAACGAAAACAATTTATTGTTGATACAATATTTAATTGTTCTCTCTGCAACTGCTTTGGGCTGGTATCACTGGCCCAGATAAAGCCTCTTGTACCAAAATCCACTTAAGACTATGATAGTTTGGGTCTATAGACATCTATGGTATCAAAGTTATATCAGATGACTATGGTAGTACCACAGTTAACTCCATTTAAATATGTTGGAGTCACAGGCATGTAATTCAAGTTCAGTCTAACATAAACCTATCAATGATATACATGTATATACACTGATATATATACACTCAACAAAAATACAAACGCAACATGCAACAATTTCAAAGATCTTACTAGATTTGACTGAATTACAGTTCATATATGGAAATCAGTTAATTGAAATAAATGTATTTGGCCCTAATCTATGGATTTCACATGACTGGGAACACAGATATGCATCTGTTGGTCACAGATACCTTAAAAATAAAGGTAGGGGCGTGGATCAGAAAACAGTCAGTATCTGGTGTGACCACCATTTGCCTCATGCAGTGTGACACATCTCCTTCGCATAGAGTTGATCAGGCTGTTGATTGTGGCCTGTGGAATGTTGTCCCACTCCTCTTCAATGGCTGTGCAAAGTTACTGGATATTGGAACTGGAACACGCTGTCGTACACGTCGATCCAGAGCATCCCAAACATGCTCAATGGGTGGCATGTCTGTTGAGTATGCAGGCCATGGAAGAACTGGGACATTTTCAGCTTTCAGGAATTGTGTACAGATCTTTGTGACATGGGGCCGTGCATTATCATTCTGAAACATGAGGTGATGGTGGCGGATGAATGGCACGACAATGGGCCTCAGGATCTCGTCACGGTTTCTCTTTGCATTCAAACTGCCATCGATAAAATGCAATTGTGTTCGTTGTCCGTAGCTTATGCCTGCCCATACCATAACCCCACCGCTACCATGGGAACATTCGATTCTCTGGCAGCAGCTCTGGTGGACATTCCTGCAGTCAACACGCCAATTGCACGCTACCTCAAAACTTGAGACAACTGTGGCATTATGTTGTGTGACAAAACTGCCCTAAAAATGGTCAAAGACTCCAGCCACTCTAGTCATAGACTGTTCTCTCTGCTACCGCACGGCAAGCGGTACCGGAGCGCCAAGTCTAGGTCTAAAAGTCTTCTTAACAGCTTCTACCCCCAAGCCATAAGACTCCTGAACAGCTCATCAAATGGCTACCCGGACTATTTGCATTGTTCCCCCCACACTAGTTGACTGACAGGGGCGCTGTTTTGAAGCCACCACACCTCCATCTTGGCAATCCCCCACCATCGTAAAAAATATTTAGAAATGCATTTATTGATGTCTACATTTGTTTTTGCCACGTTTATTATATTACAGACACATTAATACATACTTTTAAATTATATTATGTGAGCTAAATATAAAAAAGTAAAAAATATATATACTAATATTTTCCTTAAAGTATAACTTTTAGAAGGTGACTGTCCCCACTGCAACAACAAAAATAGTTAAATACATGTAATTTTGTCCTTGAAACAAATATTGGAATTCTACTGTACTTGAAATAATATAGAATTCCATTGATCCCTATGGAGGACTGCTCCTTCTGGGGAGTGCCAATATGGCCGACCGGTGGCTTCAAAGCCTCTCATTGGCCAATACACAGCAACAGCAATCCAGGTTTATACATAATTGAAACCTACCTGTGGATTTATTTAGTCTCGGTCTGTGATACCAACCCGTAGTGACAAATAGTCTATTCACTGAGGTCATCACTAGTTACCACAGCCACAAAGTAATAAACCCCGCCTATTTGTATAATTTATCTTCTTAAAATATGATTTTAAACCTAACCTTAACCACACTGCTAACGTTATGCCTAACCCTGACCTTAAATGAAGACCAAAAAGCTCATTGTAGTTGCAATAAATGTATACGATAGTCAATTTTGACCTTGTGGCTGTGATAATTAGTGGAAACCCTGAAATTCAGATCCAGCACGGAAAGGGGATTATTGGGTTCCACCCATGATTAATAGGCTACAAGTGAGGTCATCACGCACCCATGCGTGGCAGTGCGTGGTGGAGCGCGAGGGGAGGCATGCGCCTCAGTTAGGCGATAGTTACAAGACCATAGTTACAATATAATGGATCACATCTCACGTACAACGTGTCACTCACAGACGGTCGGAGAGTTTAGAAGTGAGTTGAGAAAATTAGACAGAAGGACCTCTTAAGTTTTGACAACTTTCTAACTATGAAAATCTATGTTTAGTGTGCCTTAACAACAGGTTATACAATTTTCATGATGTATTATGGATATAGCCCAGCCTTGGCTACTGCTCAAATTCATCTAGGCTATATGCGACACACGAGTCATAAAGACATGGCATCATACGCTGTCCATATTTCCACTCGCAATGTGACATTGTAGCATTGCTGACTAGGGAACAGCATTGCCTGCTGTGGCTGGGGAGATGTATCTCACAAAATGCGCCAATTACTTTCATTTTACTATCCCACAGACTCAGACAGAGCAACACAATACACAGACACCACCAAAATATGCTACACTAGCCTATTCTAAACATGGACTTCATAACAAAATTATGATATTGGGATAAACTTGAACAAGAGCATCAACTCGTGGTGACATCGTTTCAGTGAATATAACCAAACAAAGTGGTACATATACTTCCCATCCTTATAGAGCTCCAAAATTATAGGCTATTAACAAAATGGGGGGAACTATTGCATGTTATAGCAAGATAATAAAACACCACAAATGCTATTCAATTTAATCGAAAGTGAAACGTCTTCATTGTAAGAACCAGCTCTACAAGTACACGCTATAGCCTATAGAAATGGGCTAATTGAGGTAATATTACTATGAATTGGAGAAATGCGTCGTAAAACATTCTAAAGGCTGTCAAACCAATAGCAGAACAGACAGACAAAGAGGCTCTAACATGAAACAAGCAAAATCATAAACGAAAAGTTTATACACTTACCAGATTGGTGGTTAAATCAGTGGTCTGGGACGATCATTGTCAGATATTCGCGTACGCTGTATATATAAGGGATATTTTAAAAACATAAAAATAAAATGCCGGTAGGAAGTAGGGCTACCCCTCGCGAGTTCTCTGATCCAGAAATTTAAATACAGTAAAGCAGCTACGTCATTGGCTAAAACCCGTGTGGCGCGCGCGGGCCCCCTTATTTCCCCCCTATTTTCTTTCCCTGCGCCTCCTCTGCTGCTGAACTCATCACGAGTCAATGCGGGGAATCCACGCGCACCGGGACGGCAACGCCGGTGAGTTAACGGGACCGGGAGCCATCTGTCGGTATTCATCCGCATCGCCTCTTAGTAGCTTGCCCGCGCATCAATCAGGGCGCCTAAAACGTTGCTATGACGACAGAGGCTGGCATACATAGTTTACACAACAGACCACCTAACTTTACTAACCTTACTGACTTGGCCTATAGGCTGCTTGTACTAGACTACTAAATGACTTGATAAAAGATCAAGAATGTCTTTGCCATGACTTAAAGGGTGTAGCCTATGCAAAAAGAATGCTTGCACTGTACATGACACTGGGCCTTATATAATATAATAATATAATATGCCATTTAGCAGATGCTTTTATCCAAAGCGACTTACAGTCATGTGTGCATACATTTTTACGTATGGGTGGTCCCGGGGATCGAACCCACTACCCTGGCGTTACAAGCGCCATGCTCTATAAGTCAAAGAGCCTGTCATGGTTTAGAGAATGGTTACTAAAAGGATGGGATGCAAGTTCACTGTCCTCATTCTCTCTCCCTCCATGATTGAGATTCAATTCACTCCCACTCTTAACCTGCAGATGCAGCATTTAGAAAAATAGCCTGAAATAGAAATAGCGCTCTCTCGAAAACTACAGGGTCTGCAGACCTCTCTCTCTCTCTCAAAGATAATCTTCTGATAAAGCAAACTTTATTATATTTACAGTAGATAATTGTGAAAACCTAACATTCTCACTCCATCCCTAAACTTTTCCTCTGATTGTGAAAACCTAATACTCTGAAATGTTCTACTGGTCTGACTGAGTGTGTGAGTGAGTCTATGACACACTATCAACATCTCATTCTTCTGGCAGACAGGAGGTCTATTGTACAACACGTCTCAATCGGTCGTGTGTCTTCACTCATTGAGAGTGTGTGAGCGTAGACATTCATTCCCAGCCCCCCCGTACTAACACACAAATGCGGGTCATTTATCAGAGAATTTGACTTTGCTGTGTGTGTGTGTGTGTGTGTGTGAGAATGGTTTGTATAAAGCCCATTTCATCCAGGGATCTTCCAGTACTATACATTGTGTTGGTACAGAGGACTTACAGTCACTGTGGTGGTGTTAGTGTCACGGGTGGGATCTGAACCTCAGAGGGTGACACAGAGTTTTAGGTCGCAGCCAGGCCTACCTCATTATGAGAGCGCGAGTCCTCACCTCTGCTACAATAACTGCTGTAGTGATGCCGTCTTGCCTGAGATCTTGAGTTAGAAGTTAGATCCCATAGATAGGGTCCAGAGTTGTTCCCGGCCAGGTCCATGGATAAGTATTCTTCACTCCTGGCTCTGGAAAACGACAGGGTGTGCAGGCAGACAGACAGACAGACATCACACGATAAATCCCAACTCCCAGCGGCGTAAGAACTGCTATAGACACCTGGTAGTCAGGCACCAGTGAAATTATTTAATTCCAAAGAACCCGAAGTGACCAAACAGAAACGGAAACAGGAAAAAACTGTTAAGTAAGCATGACAACTGAAGTATTACCATTGATGCTGTCTCCTTACTCTTTTTTATTTTATTTATTTTGTGACAGTTATAATTTATACGTGACTGACAGCGCATGCCAGAGGAGAAAAAACATAGACAAGTATATAAAAATATGCCATTAGATTCATATCAACAATTGAGGACAGCGGGTGCACTATTTACAGAAAAAAAGGCAATACATACCGATATTTACATTACACAATAGACTTCTTTCACACACTGGCAGAAAGGTTACATACAAGAGTTACTGAAATTTACTAGGATGGCAGCATGAAATTATAGTGACGATTAGAAGTAGTGTGAATGGTCAATTCTGAATGTCTTTGCCACAGTGATATTCTACTAAATTCTGTTACTTGATTAACATGAAAGCTAGCATGGAAGTCTTTTACTTCATATTCTACAATATTGTGTTTATAAATGTAGTATGCAGTTACTGTGAAAACAGAGGTGGGTGGGGGACCATGGAAATATAATGGGTAGAAAGAACTTAGTTCTAAAATCCACATGGTTCCACACAGTCTACCCAATATGACAGCTCAATAAAATTGATAGAATAACCAACAATAATTCCACACTTTGCTAAAGTACAGAGCACTTAGCAAGTACACAGAGACATGCTGCTCCACTAACATTTGTCTACACAGTGACACAAGCTGCTGCACCAACATACGTCTACACAGAGACACAGCTAGCAGCAGTTGAGTATCAAAGGACCAGGTTATCCGATTATATTTTACATTTTAGTCATTTAGCAGACACTCTTATCCAGAGCAACTTACAGGAGCAAGTAGGGTTATGCCTCGCTCAAGGGCACATTGTCAGATTTGTTTCACCTAGTCGGCATGGGGATTCGAACTAGCGACCTTTCGTTTACTGGCCCAAGGCTCTTAACCACTAGGCTACCTGTCGCGCCTGATTATCTGTTAGCCTCTTCATTGGCTCACAGTGGGGGAATTAGCCTAATGCTAATGCATTTGGTAGGAGTGGTTGAAGGTGATGTCCCCAGATGGTTTGTAGGGGAGTAGTGGCTTGGAGAGAGAAAACACTATCACCACTTGACCCTGAACTTGAGGACACTGGTTTGTGTGTGTGTGTGTATTTGTGTTGTTATGTAGGCTGTGTGTGTGTGTGTGTGTGTGTGTGTGTGTGTGTGTGTGTGTCAGAGCTCCTGTAAATCACCACCTCTTAGGGGCAAAGAAAGAGAGAAAAATACATCTATAAATTAAGTGCTGTAAAAAATACAAAGCTAAAATCAAAAACATAAATACTGTACAAACATATCTCTCCTACTACAGCCCCCAAAACAAATGCTTTAAAACACACTTCACTGCAGTAGTGGGATGTTGTTTAATTTCTTTTTAAATAGAAAAAAAAAGTGATTATGGGTGAGAAAGAGGTGTATGTATGGGTGTGTGAGTCATAGGCTATGGAGAGACGAGCTGTGTTTTGTCAAACGAGTGAAGAAATTGTGTGTGTGTGTGTTTATAGAGTCTTAGTAGGTACCCTTGCCATATATTGCACATTGGTTACTTGTATAATGTTACTCTTTAGTCTCCTTCATCTCCTTTTTCTATCCCTTTCTCCTCTCCTCCGTAGGATGGAGTGTTCGCATGGTGTGGGCCAAAAAGAGGAATCCAAAGATGGATGTTTGACCCCCTTCCTCCAGCCCTTCTTCAAACTTCTTGTTCCATTGTTACTTCCATCAGTCCAGCATTTGGCTTTTTGCAGAGTTCACAATCCTCTTCCCATCACTCGCCTTTCACCATGTCTGCCTCAATCTCTCTCTCTCTCTCTCTCTCCTTATCCTTCACCTAATCGGTCTGTCCTCATCCACACTCTATTTCCCTCTCTCTTCCCCTCTCTCGCTCTCTCTTGTTCCCTCTCTCCTAGTAAAGTCTGTAGAGTTTCATTATGACAGAGTCCACAGACTGAGCAGTACAAGTGGAGGGTGATTCATGCCGAAACACCAAGCACACACCACTCAGCCTTTAACAACACACACAGTTGCATCGGAACAAACTAAAACAACAACAGAAAGCTGGTTTGAAGCGACCCTGTAGTTTTTCAGTCTGGGCTAACAACACCCATGCACAGAGAGATCAGAAGATCGAGCAAAGGACAAAAATAACTGGACCTAATAAAAGGGGGAGGGGTTTGAGGAGGAGGAGGGCGGGGTTTGTGTGCGGTTTCAGCTGATGGTGGGGTTTAAAAGGGACTCTCATTGGCTCAGACCCGGGCCAGGGGGCTTGGCCTCACACCCTCCAGAGCAGTATGTTGCTGGTGCTGAGGGGGTGGGCTTTGATAAATGGGGCCGGCTGTTTGGCTCAGACCCTCCACAGCAGTAAGTGGTTGGTGCTGTCGTCCCGCCCCACTGTCTCACTGCTATTGGTCAGACGGAAGTCCTCGTAGCCGTCGCCACCTGAGATCACCAGCTGATTGGTTTTCACGGGTAGGAGGGTGGAGGCTCGTCGGTGAGCGGAGTCCCGCCTCTGCAGACCCCCATTACCCCCATCAACACCACTCTGGGCTGGGTTGCCTAGGAGACAGAGGAGTTCAAAGGTCATGAATTTGGAAGTATCCCTTTAAACATTGTATGACAAATGTGTTTGTAAGCAATTATGGTGCTTGAAGTGACGTGGTTACCTGTGGTATAGGCGGGCAGGGGGAAGTTGACGTCGAAGCCTTCAGGTAGTTCTATGGAGGTGAGGAACCTCACATGGCCAGTGTGTCCGTGAGCAGAGCCCATGGGGGTCAGGGGTGACCGCAGCGTCCCTGACACCGTCCCAGAGCTGACGGCTGGGATAGACAGGGTCAGGACCACCCCTGCACTGGTCCCGATCCACAGCAGGTCCTTACAGGCCAGGAGAGCTGTGATCCTCAGACACGCTGCCTTGTGCTGCCGGATGATCGCATCCGAACCTGGGCAGGGAGAGGGGATGAAGGGGAAGGTCAGAGAGAGAGAGAGAGAGGAGGGCGATGAGGACAAACGTCTTATTTAGAACTGGTGCTGCCATCTACTGGTTAAGCGATGTAATGCGCTGACTCTGAATTTGTATATGTGTGTGGGTGTGTGTGCATTGTAACTGCCGTTGTTAATGCAGTAAAGGTCTACGATGTTTTGGACACTTATGGTGTGTGCTCTGTGTTACCTGCAAGCATCTTGTGCACGGCGGGAGCCACGTCCACCTCGGTCAGGCTGTCCCAGGTCTGGGCATGGTAAAGTCTGATCTGGGCACTACCCTGGAGCGCCAGCCACACCCCCTGGCCGTAGCTCACCATGCAGGTAACACACCTACTGCTGTCTGTGCCCACCTGGAACCAGTGCTGCAGGGGAGAGAGAGAGAGAGAGAGAGAGGTTACAACCACCCATCAGATATTAATTTCATCCATCCATCCCATCCATTAGTCCACCCACCCACCCATTGATCCATCCATTCATTCATTCATTAATTCACCCATCGTTCCATCCATCCACCCATCTATTGTGAATGGACTGTAATGTGACCATACCTCCTGCACCAGTGTCGTTGTGTTGATGATGAGAACACGGTTCTGTGAACCACACCACAGCTTCCCCCCAACCGGGACCATCTTAGTGACAGGACTACTGGGCGTGCCCAGACTCAACGTCTGAGATGACTGGGCGTCCCAGAAACTCCCCGCCTCCCTCTGGTAGACGATCACCTCTCCGTTGGCCAGGGACACAAACACCTTGTTGTCCAGGTACCTGAGAGAAGAGAGGGAGGGGATTGTCAGACAATGAAGTAGCAAATCAACAAATAAAGTCAAGATAAAGTGGTAGACTTATCCGATGGGGGCTAACATTAAACCAGCCAGCCATACTCACAGGATACACAGGATGGAGGCAGAATGCTGCATCTTCATGCTGTTCTTACGGTTGCGGATGTTGTCTGATGACTGGTACACATGGATACTGAGAGAGAGTTCAAAACACTGAGTTAGGATTTGTGTCTGTATGTTTGTGTATGTATGTGTGTGTATATGTGTGTGTGTTTGTGTGTGTGTGTATGTGTGTATGTTTGTATGTGTGTATGCGTCTGTGTGTATGCGTCTGTGTTTGTGTGTGTGTGTATGTGTCTGTGTGTATGTGTGTATGTGTGTGTGTGTGTGTGTGTGTGTGTGTGTGTGTGTGTGTGTGTGTGTGTGTGTTTACCATCCGTCCTCTGTGCCCAGCCACACAGAGCTCTGGTAGGCCTCTGGGTCAATGCTGAGCAGATCCTCCAGACTGGCTCTAGTGAAGGATCCCCGGGAGGAGCGACGCATGGCTCTTCCGTCCATGGGGCTCTTGCTGTGGGGTCGACCTCTTCCACCCACCCCTAGCCTGCCTGGAGCTCCATAAGGACTGGCCTCTGGGTACTCCTGCTCCTCCTCACTACTGGTGGTCTCTGTAGCCATGTCCTTAGAACCAGACCCCTCCTCATCTAGGACAGAGGGACAAAGGATAGTTATGGTGTTTGAGTCGGTGCATACTCGTTACCATAGCTGGATGAATGGATGGCTTGTGTGTGTGTGTGTGTGTGTGTGTGTACTCACTGCCATAGCTGGATGAATGGATGGCCTGTGTGTGTGTGTGTGTGTGTGTGTGTGTGTGTGTGTGTGTACTCACTGCCATAGCTGGATGACACAGTAGAGTGACTGGCTTGGCTCTGCAGAGTGGAGGAGGGGCTTGGAGAATCTTCATCGTCCGTGTCATCACTGTCAAACGGAACTAACTCAGGCCCCGCCCCTGAAGGGGGCTCAGTCAGCTCCAGCGACGAATGAGAAATGGAGATGTGTAGCTGCTGCTGCTGGGATGGGGTGGAGTCAACAGCTCCAGGGGGAAGGGCAGGGGAGGGCTCCACTCCACGTTCCCTAGGAGACACAGGATGCAGGACGCCGATTGGTTAGAAGTCAGTAACGTTAGCTAAGCAATGCAGGACATCAACAGTAAAGACTGATCTATGTGTTTGTGTTTGTATACTACGCTCTGTGTACCAACCTCCCCTTGAGTCCAGGGACAGCAGCGATGCAGATGATCCTAGCGGAGCAGACGGCGATGCAGGCCTCTACAGTGGGCTGGTCTCTGATGTTGAGCAGACACACCTGGCCCACGTAGCCATCACTGTTACACACCCACACCTCACTGCTGCTCTCTGGACAACTGTGGCTGGGGGAGGCACAGGAGAACTGGGGAGGGAGACACAAGACAGGATAGGAGGGAAAGGATTATGAATACTCAAGTAGGCTCGTTCTCCATCACAAAACCCTAAGCTTTCCCATGGACAGTCAGACTGGCCAGGTAACCATGTCACACCACCAGGGTTGGGCTCAATTCCAATTGAAGGCAGTTAATTGAAGAGGTAAAGTAAAATTACAATTAGATAATAATTGACTTCTCAATAAACTGAAAAGTAGAAGCTATTTATTTCACAGATTTACATTTCAGAATTTCAAATTCAAATCACTTTCTGAATTGGCTGCCTTCAATTCTAATTGAGCCCAACCCTGCACACCACCAGGACAGGCTGGTCTCTCTCACCTGCATCCCACTACGAGTCTTCATGATGGGGATAGCCTTCAGGAACTCTGGGTCCCACTGCTCCTTATTCATTGCTACACACACAGGACAAAGGAAGGGAGAGATGGAGGTTATTAACCTACAGTTTAATCTCAAGAGAAAGACTCAAGTGAACTATCCCTTTAATACGATGTTAAATAACATAAACATGTGTTTCCTCATACCCAGTTTCTTCTTGGCATCTTCGAAGGCCTGTTGGAAGTTGCTGCGTGTGTCTGGGGAGCTGAACTCGAAGACGAAGCTGGTTTCTGCCGAGGCGGTGGTGAGCTCCAGCTTGGTTGGCAGGAAGGTCATACTGAAGGCTAGAGACTGTTTCTCTGCTAGCTCCCTGTGGACCGACGCCATCAGGTCCTTTATCACGTCATCCAGAGACTGGGCAGCGAGAGAGAGGGAGGAGGAGGAAGAGAGAGGAGGTAGGTTAAAGGAGGTTTCTCAGAGAGAGAGAGAGAGAGCGGGGGGAGGAACTAAATGTAATTGTTTATGTGTGTATGAGATTTGTTAGATGTCTATGAGGCGTGTGTGTGTGTGTGTGTGTGTTACCTGGTGAGGGAAGCTGAGAGTCTCTGATAGTTTGCTGATCTGTCCCAGTGTACTCAGGTCCTCGTCCAGTCGACCAATCATCTTCTGGATGGTCTCTTTGTTGGTTGCCTGAGAGGGGCCTAACATACAGGAAAAGAGATGATGACATCTCTCATACTCACAGGAAACTACAGATCCCATGAGCACTGGGATACAGGAAGAACTACAGTGTAATCTCAGTTGGTAGAGCATGGCGCTTGCAACGCCAGGGTTGTGGGTTCGATTCCCACTGAGGACCAGTACGAAAACATTTATGCACTAACTACTGTAAGTCGGTCTGGATAAAAGTGTCTGCTAAATGACAAAAATGTAAAAAATATAAACTACACATCCCATGAGCACTGGGATACAGGAAGAACTACGGTATAATCTCAGAAACATACAGTGCATTCGGAAAGTATTCAGACCCCCACATTTTGTTACGTTACAGCCTTATTCTAAAATTGATTAACTTGTTTTTTCCCCCTCATCAATCTATACACAATACCCCATAATGACAAAGCAAAAACAGGTTTTTAGAATTATGACATTTACATAAGTATTCAGACCCTTTACTCAGTCCTTTTTTTTCTTATTTTTTAAATTGTTTTTTAGGGGGTAGATCAGCTTTAATATTGCAGATAGATTGGAGCTTCCATCAATGTAATTGTCTGCATCACTTCCAATCCCCCATATGTTTTTTTTTCTCGCAAATATACATACACACACATACATACATACACATATCCTTTTAAAAATATATTTCCCTTTATTACTTTCCAACCCCATCACCCCTTCCCTAATTGGAGTAAACTAGTGAACAACAATGCTTAGGCCTCTACTTCCAGCTTATACATACTATATACATTTTATGGAAACTCAATTTTACAATAATTCTATTTTGTTTGTTTTTACTCCTGAACTTCCTCTACCCTCAACCTCTCCGATCATTTTCATGATGTCCATCCTGTTTGCTTCTATATGCCATATCTTTCTAACTGTGCTCTTTCACAAAAGCTCTCAACCTACAACCTATATACTTATTATGGACACAGTATGCTTACATTATTAGTTATCTTGTTGATATTAGTTGTTGTTAGTTGTTATTAGTCCCATCCTTCAACTCCATTCAACACCACCCATCTATCTCTTAACACCATCCATATTGGATTACTATTTGCCATATATTTTTCAACTGTACTGTGTTGTTTTACAAAAGTTCTGAACATTTCTATTCTCATTGTTTCTACAGATTGTAAATTGAAAATAAACATTTTTGCTAAAAGTATTATTATATTATTGATCGATTGACTATGACTTTTCAGATCACCGAGTAATGCTATCTGCAGGGATAGCTCCAGGTAAATATATTGCAATCCTTCAGCCATTCCTGGACCTGTGTCCAAAAACAAGCTACAAAATGGACAGTACCAAAACAAATGTTCTAATGATTCTGTCTCTTCGCAGTACTTTGTTGAAGCACCTTTGGCAGCGATTTCAGCCTCGAGTCTTCTTGGGTATAATAATAATAATATAATATGCCATTTAGCAGACGCTTTTATCCAAAGCGACTTACAGTCATGCGTGCATACATTTTTGTATATGGGTGGTCCCGGGGATCGAACCCACTACCTTGGCGTTACAAGCGCCGTGCTCTACCAGCTGAGCTACAGAGGACCACTACAAGCTTGGCACACCTGTATTTGGGGAGTTTCTCCCATTCTTCTCTGCAGATCCTCTCAAGCTCTGTTAGGTTGGATGGGGTGCGTCGCTGCACAGATATTTTCAGGTTTCTCCAGAGATGTTTGATCGGGTTCATGTCCAGGCTCTGGCTGGGCCACTCAAGGACATTCAGAGACCGAAGCCACTCCTGCGTTGTCTAATCTTCGCCCCAGTCTGAGGTTCTGAGTGCTCTGGATCAGGTTTTCATCAAGGATCTCTCTGTACTTTGCTCTGTTCATCTTTCCCTCAATCCTGACTAGTCTCCCAGTCCCTGCCGCTGAAAAACATCCCCACAGCATGATGCTGCCACCACCATGCTTCACTGTAGGGATGGTGCCAGGTTTCCTCCAGACGTGATGCTTGGCATTCAGGCCAAAGAGTTCAATCTTAGTTTCATCAGACCAGAGAATCTTGTTTCTCATGGTCTGAGAGTCCTTTAGGTGCCTTTTGGCAAACTCCAAGCGGGCTGTCATGTGCCTTTTACTGAGGAGTGGCTTCTGTCTGGCCACTCTACCATAGAGGCCTGATTGGTGGAGTGCTGCATAGATGTTTGTCCTTCTGGAAGGTTCTGTCAGAGTGCCCATCGGGTTCTTGGTCACCTCCCTGACCAAGGCCCTTCTCCCCCGATTGCTCAGTTTGGCCGGGCGGCCAGCTCTAGGTTCCAAACTTCTTCCATTTAAGAATGATGTAGGCCACTGTGTTCTTGGGGACCGTCAATGCTGCAGACATTTTTTGGTACCCTTCCCCAGATCTGTGCCTCGACACAATCCTGTCTTGGAGCTCTACGAACAATTCCTTTGACCTCATGGCTTGGTTTTTGCTCTGACATGCGCTGTCAACTGTGTGACCTTATATAGACAGGTGTGCCTTTCCAAATCATGTCCAATCAATTGAATTTACCACAGAAGACTCCAATCAAGTTGTAGAAACATCTCAAGGATGATCAATGGAAACAGAAGGCACCTGAGCTCAATTTCAAGTCTCATAGCAAAGGGTCTGAATACTTATATAGGTATTTCTGTTTTTTATTTTGAAATACATTTGCAAAAATGTCTAAAAACCTGTTTTCACTGTCATTATGGGGTATTGTGTGTAGATTGATGAGGGGGGAAAATATTTAATAAATTTTAGAATAAGGCTGTAATGTAACAAAATGTGGAAAAAGTCAAGGGGTCTGAATTATTTCCGAATGCACTGTAAACTACACATTCCATGAGCACTGGGATACAGGAAGAACTACAGTATAATCTCAGATACATATAAACTACACATCCCATGAACACTTGGATACAGGAAGAACTACAGTATGAACTACACATCCCATGAACACTGGGATACAGGAAGAATACAGTATAATCTCAGATATATATAAACTACACATCCCCATGAGTACTGGGATGAAGGAAGAACTACAGTATAATCTCATATACATATAAACTACACTTCCCATGAGCCCTCAGGAGTCTTACTTTTCACCATCTCCACATCCTCTAGGGGAAGTTTCCACAGGAATTTATATTTACTGGAAGTGTCGATCACACTGGCAGCAGAGTACCTGGAAGAGGAGGAGATAGAAAGACGAGAGGACAGGGAGAGAAACAGTCATTTCTGTGTATGATGCAGAAAGTGTAATGTGTGTCAGGCAACACCAGGGGGCCGCAAGAAAGTCTCCTTTTATTTAACACTGTAAATGAGGGGGTGAACCCATAGAGAATGATAGAGGTCTCTAGTAGCCAAAAAACTGTATTAGCATGGGCAGCGACATTGAGGGCTCCACCATTTTAATATAATCAACAGGGTGGGACTTCCAACGTCATTGGCTGATCCTTCATGTCCAACCAGGTCATCAGGAGGGATCAGCCAATCATGAAGAAAAAAATGGTCTACTTCAAAATGGAGATAGCATGGGCAGCGCCATTGAAGCTTTCACAGACGCTATAATGGCCAGATACAAAGATGAGTCCTCTATCTATCTCTATGGGTGAACCAAGGGGCCAGTGTTCCGGTTTTGAC